ATTCGAAATATTGCATTATTGTAGTTTTTGAATTAATAATTACAAAACTTAGAGCATCAGCCGATATTAACGTCTATTTACGCATTCATAATAAACATATGCTGTTAAACTATGAACCTAATTAGCAATTTTTCAGGTTCAAGTAAAAACCTGTAATTATAGTTTTTTCCCGTAGACATATTTTAAAGTTAATATTTTATGTTTTGAATTAAATTAACCGTTATTTACAAATATTTGTTATACTTGTTTTCATAAATTATCTTCATATTTACTAATTTAGCTACAACAAAACCAAAACCTAATTTTAATAAATTTTTTGAAAACGATTTAAAATGGTTTGTTTTCTTTTGAATGGAATTTGTATTAATATGATCTATCCAAGACTTTTTTTCAAGACAATTAAACAATGTCGAACATTTCAATAAAAAAAAAAAAAATAAAAAAATATTTCAACATTTTAATAAAATCTTTTTTTATTATCTATATACTGTAGATTTGATAACAGTTAAATGATCACGATGGTGCTCTAATCGACTGCGAATAGACAGGTCCAACCGATCGTTAACGACAGCTTTAACAACATGAAAATGCTAAAGAATTTACAAAATATAATCATGGTTATAAATTAAATAACTATCTATAATTATGTATATCTATTGCTATAACTGATAAATGATAACAATTATTACACACGTGTGTATTTTATCATTTGTTCAATTCTATTATCTTTTATCAAAATAATGGAATGGAATTTTTATTTGTTATTGGATTGAAGTTCAGTTTCAGCAGGTGCGAAAGCAATCATTATACCTGCTGCATTTTGCCAGGGGGTGTATATGCACCGTCGTATACCACGCAATTGCACGTCAATTACCTATGATACGGTATGGTTTGTATTAAAATGTGTAATATGAAAACATATATATTTTAGCTAATGTATTGATTTATTTATTGTTTACTAATAAACAATTTATTGTTTATAAATTGATACGGTAATTTAATACAATTTTAATTAATACAGTATTTTCGTTAAACATTTACTCGTAGAAAAAAAAAACAATTATTTAGTATCTTTCTATACTGTTTATGAGAACCTTACATACACATTTTATTTTAGTGTTTAATAATTAAATATTTCAAAAGATTGTTATCCTGGTGTTTATTTATCCTAATTTAATATATTTTAACCCATTTTCTATAATAACTAAGTAGCTTTGTAAATCGAAATCCTCAGTTTTAGAATCCTAATTTTTTTCTACATGTTTGGAGTACAAAAGCAGCCTCTAGGAACGTCCAGCCATCACACATCCAGATGCATGTTTATTTTATTCGTCCTCCTAGTTCTTCCGCATAGTTCTTAACAACGTTTTTCCGTCTTATTATACGTCTTCTAAGCCCTAAGAGATCGTATTCCTGTCGAGTTCCTCTAACCAGCGAACTATTGAGTAAATTTCGAGCTTTTGAATATTTCCCAGTAAATCGTGTAAAGACGATAGTATAATTAATACTATATACAAAAGATAATAATAAAAAACATTTGTTTATTCACTGAACTATAATAACCGGGAGAAAACAATTTTGATTATTTTTCAACTCGCAGAAAAATCATGTACCTATATAATAAAAGTATCGTTCTATGTATGCACTCGATATATTGTATACGATCAACAACGGGAGGGTGTAAAAACGCAGTCCATTGGTTTGTGTGTCTATTATTACGCCTGTGTACGTATATATGTGTATTGTATATTTTATTATTATAGTGTACGGCCAAAACGATTTCGCCGGACAAACAAACGCAATAATGACGGTAAGTTTTGTCCGTCATGAACGCCGAATTCCTCCGTGGTGGCCCCCGAAGACCCACACGCTGATAATAATAATCCTCGTATCATTTGTATTATTATTAAATAAATATTGTGGGTCACCTTGACGGTATACCGGACGGCTGGACTTTCTCCGTCTCGGTATATCTATTTTTCGCACTCCGACGATTTAATACCCGTGATGTATACCTACGCGATGCAGTTTATTTTACAGCGTGATTCAAAAGTCTTCATCCGATTACGAACTGATTATTATTATAGCTCAGCAACAGTTAATCGCAGGTGAACGACCATTGGTAAGATAATCATGTTTATTGCAAAATGGATCGTCGCCACACTCTCTCGGAAATTAGAAGTTTGCCAATATCCAAACGACGAACTCCATCAACGGTGGCAGATCGGGCGCAGAAGAATAGACGATTTGACGATTCGTCTTATCGGCTACCACGTTCCCCAGATCTCAACGTAGTGTGGAATTTTTTTACGGAACTTCGTGTAAACTAAAGTCTGTGTCCGCTCTAACCTAAAGACCTAGGCGTACTCAAAAACGTCCGGGAAGAATGTGACCACGCGTATCGGTGTCATAAATGTTCCACATACATTTGTCATTTCACACCCGTATTTTCGTTTTTAAATATGTAATTATGAAATTTTGAAATCAAACAAAGATATTTCAATCGCACTGTATTGTTAATTTTATATTATTACATTAGCGTTTCTGCTAGTCATTTATCATTTCCGTTTCCTCCGACTAATCAACCGCTTTGGAAAAACTACTACGCATATTATATACACTCGTCACTATCGGTCAAATCGCGCGATCAATCAAACGCTGCGTCGTCGCTTATTTTCATTCAATCTGTTCGCGAAAGTTCCGACGCTAAAATACCTATTATAACGATTCTTGTTTCGTTGTTTTGATTGGTATTTTCCACCCACATAGTAAACCCGACGTTTTAATATTATTACTGTGTGACACGACAACGGGGAGTGACATTTTATTTATTTTATAGGCGTGTTATGCAGATTATTCATGAACAGTTTGCTCGCTAATACTTGCGGCCGATGATTCACCAAAACGATATTATAAATCGTTTGATGGATATATGATCGAGCCCGGGAATTAAGGAGAGGTCGGAAGGTGCTCCTTGATGCACATGGCAACAAGATTCCAAAGACATCAGTTTTTTCCAAAGTGTGTCTCTATACAGAGTTTATATTTCGATATTTCGTTAATTTTAAAATAAATTAATATTTTTTCGTAATGATTCTTATAGCGGAATCTATTGTTGTTTTTTTATTTACACACATTTATTTATGTATTTATATTAATTGTTTACTGGCATTGAGTCCAATTGCAGCATATAGTTCTAATTTTCTAAACATAAAGGAATGAAAAATAATAATAATAATAATAAGAAAAAAAAAACATTTTTAGTGATAATATACAGAAGTAAATATAAATACATGTATAACTATGCTTAATAATAATAAATCTGGTGTACATTTTAATTGATTAGGTAAATATAGAAAAATAAGGGTTAGAGTTAGCAACGCACTAGAGGTTTATTTAAACCATAAATCGTAGTGGTTGGAGGAATGTGAAATGGATGTGACTGGTGTGTCATACGAGAAGGGACATTGAATGATTGGAGGATTGGGAAATCAATATCACCAGAGCTTAGATAAAAACTTAAGGTTGGCATGGTATCTCCTGTCACCTAAAGAGGCGAGGCAGAGGACTTTAATAATGGATGTGTAATTGTGGAGGGGCAATTAATCTTTAAGCTGTGATTGACGAAGTATCAAAATGTACGCTGAACACGATCTACTAAGGAAGATTGTGTGTATATTTATGTATACACAAATATTATACTTATTTATTTAAAAAATAATCATGGCTTTTAAATTTAAACTATTATATTACTACATTATTTGTTGACTTTCTTTTATTAAATCATAAATTATCAATTTAAATAGTACGTTTTTGGATTTTATTTGTTTTGTCTGTTAACAACTGTTCTACTAGAAATATTGTACTGATTTTCAAATTTATCTATTTCTGAAAGCAAATTTTTTTCTAATTGGTGCGTTAAGGTCATTTTTTGATTTTCCTTGTAGATTTCTTAATAAATTTTTTTATTATTCTTTTTTAAGGCCTCGTTGAAAATATTGGTCCCAGCACTTCTAAATGTAATGTCTTAACCAAGATTGTAAATATTTACTAAAAACTATAATAACACACAATAATTTTAACTAGTAAGCAGACTATACAAATAAATGTAAAAAAAAGCTTTTTTTTGCCAACTTATATTTTAGATGAATAATTTGTACATTTGCATATAATACTATCTATATTTAATTAATATTGAATTTTTAAAAACCTAGAAGCCGAGTTGCTAATGGTATAATTCACATTTTTGGCGGGATCTCGGCATCTGACTGACATACTCAAAATTGCTGATAATTACTTCAAGTCATATCGCTATATGTTAGGAATTTAGTTTATTATCTCTATCCGCAGTTGAAACAAATACGGAAATATTATTATCTATTATGTAGGTAACAAAACACAAATTAACCGTTTTTTTTTTTTTTTTTTTTTTTTTTTTTTTATCAATAATTAACCTTAACCAAGGCATTATATAATATTATTGTTAACGCTTACGCGGATTTCAAAACGCTGCAAAGTTTTATATTATCATGCAAATGTTAAGGTGAAGAACAACGAATTTAAATAAGCGATTAAAGCGTAAAGAGCTTGTAAAAAACTCGTCGATTTCTGTCTCAGCAATGACTACGACCAAATTAAACGCATACGTTTATAGTTTTCATAATATTCGAGACTTCATTTATTCTATACATACCTTGGATATACATTTTGGGTGTTTGTAGACGACGACGTGTACAAAATATCATTGGAATAATATTGTGTTCTGTTGAAAACAAAACCGACTGCAGTTCAGTGTAACTCGGCTGTTTTTAATGAGTCAAACTTGAACGTCTGCAGACAAAATTAAAAGCTAAACTATTGCCCGTAAAAAACCATCCCCATAGTTTGCAGTAGAACTGAGGTATTCCTAACAAAAGTTAATTAATTCGTAATAATGATATCGGTATATTTAAAAAAACGTAAAATGCAATAAAAATTTTAAAAAAAATACATAAAAACGATTAACTTGAGATTTCTGGCGTTTTTCTGTCTTCCACTTTCAACGCTCGTTGTTTCCTACCCTCTAAACTGTGTTGAGCTCCATACATTACATATATGAATATTCCTGGAAAAATCATTTATGGTTAATTTTTTGATTACATACATATTTGATATTTTTGCAAAGAATTTATAATATTCAATTTGCTCTAAAATTATAAAATTATCATTATAATCAAATAACTATAGGTATAATATTAATTAAGGCACCTAGAACACAAGGGGTATAAACGATATTTTTTTAAAATCTGAGTTAAGAGCACACCTGAACTAAAAATATTCCATTTTAAAAAAAAAATATCATTCGTCATGTGCTTCAATCTAGTATCAAAAGTATACAGGTACTAAGTATACTAGATCCCACTAATAGTCTTCAAATGCAAATGTCATAACATATTAGAAGTAAATAGGTACAAGGGTCCACAATAGCTGTACATAACCCTTATGTCTCTTTACTGCCAAATGGCTAAACATTTTTTTATTATTCTATTATAGTGATGATATGATAAATATACCATAATAATAATATTAAATACAAATAACCTTAAACTTTAAATCTTGAAAAACTCGAAATCAATATACTAGGAACTCAATTCATAATTGTTATTAGTTTATTTACTATATTTAGGTACTGATCTTACTTTATATTAAAGTGATTTGTATAGGTTTCATTCTAAACAAGCAATTGTATACGTTCGTGATTTTTATAATACTAATTTAATAATTAAATAGATTTTCCCGACTAAAAGTAAAGCAATTTTAATTTATAAAAATGTACGCTCATAATATAATAAATAATGGATTGTAAAATGATATCAAGGGATATTTATGAAGATATATCTCCGTATTTACCCAATAATCTTCCCCGTTAAACAGGTTAGAGTAACGAAAAAACAAATTTTATAATTGTGCGTGGACCTAAAACGTATAATAATATTATACTGGCGTAAAATACAACCGAATTGGATACTAGAATTACAAACGAAAGCATTTCGGATTTTGTCAAAAAAGAGTTCACCTAGATGGTAAAAAAAAAAAAAAACCCGATTGTTTTTACGTCTTTGAAAAATGGACGATGTTTTCATCTCGTGATTATATAATATGTATGATAGTACGTAATATTAGGTACCGACCGAATATAATCCCCATGCCGAACCTTATCCACGTCTTATAATTCAGCTCCATCATTAGGTACAGGTTGAGAACGATGCTCAGGCACGGTATGAGTGGGACGCAGGGCACCTGTAAAAAAACCACAAATATATTTGTAGTCACATGAAACATGCATAAAACGAAACGCCGTGAGTATAAAATAGCATAATAGTATAATAATAAGGACCCGGATTCAAATGCCCGCAAAAAAAATTGAAATAATACTCTTAAAATACGTATGTCAAAACAGCGACAAGTGCGGAAAAAAAGTTTCACTTTTGTAGATATTATTTGTTGGAACCCGCATATGACGCACCACCAAACAGTGGTCTGAATCGTAATTTAGCTTGCCTAAAGTCAATTTTAAAATTATGCCAAATAAGAATTATGATATTGAACTATTGATAGCTATAAGTATAATAGGAATAAGATGCTAACTATCTTAACTTAAATGCTTAACATACACAAGTATGAATATAGTATCAAAAACTGCGTAATTAACAAAGTCATTGTCATATGGTAATCTCATTTAAAAAGGAACGTATATGTGTGTTTGAATTATTTTTTATCGCAATATGATATGGATCTTACAGAACAAGGTAAGTTAATTGTTGTCTCTTTTTAAATACATTTAAATTATTCAATTTTGGATCTGGAAATCCGTTACGTTTTTTTATATTTATTAAATATAAAAGCTTATTATTTATTACTTTTAAGCTTCTTCGCCATATACATAAATTATAGTAAAACTTTCGAGCCTTTCAATTCCATAAGAAATTTTGGATTTATAAGATAACCATATATTCTTTAAATTTATACTGCGTTATGTTTTTTTTTTCTTTCACTAAAAATTTGTAATTCTCTCATTATCTCACGAAATACAAAACGTTATTAGTCACCGTATTATATTTTAATTTTGTCGATATTTTATTGTGGTAATTATTATCATTTTTTTTTTTTTATTTATTTCTTAACGTGTATAATATATTACATTATTATTTTGTAGAAACTAGTAACTGTCAAATATTTAAGTATAGAATGGGCTAGTATAGAATACTATTATCAACATGTAATTTTATTTATTTATTTGGAAATTTTGTATCAACTTTACCTACCTCGGTTTTATACAATTTCTAAATTGAATGGTTAATTTAAAACCTGTATAAAAATATTTGAATTCACCAACCTTTAAAAACATTAATTATTATAAAAAATACAAATAATGTAAAACATTAAAAATCACCTTCCTTAGCCGCCCTAACTAACAGGTCAATTTAAAAACGAATGCAAAATTTGAGTTCAGCGTCCTCAAAACTAATATGTTTGATGTATCACACTATCATATAAGTTAAAAATTAAGGGTAATTAATTTTAGCAAGCTAAATTACAACACATATCACTTTGTGCTAAAGGCTTGTGCAAAGAAAGGAGTTTAGGGATTATATCCCTACCCTTAACATATTGAATCAACAATACAACAGTTAACATGCTTCACATGTTTATTTAATAACATTATATTGACAATGTACCTTTCAGCAAAATTTCTAAGGAAACTGTTTGATTGATTGAATGCGAATTGGCTCTTTTGGATCCAACTTTTAAAAAGTGATCGTTATTTACTACATATCCTCTCTCATTGAAAATGTTTGGGCACGGCAATGCACACCATAGCCCTTACGGAGGTATATTACGATAATGACGTTATCAAAATTATAAACTTAGCGTTTGACAAACTGTATTGATGAAGAATGCCTGAAACGGTTAACACTTATTAAAGCAAATTTCATGAAAATGGAACTTTTTTGAGATTATATTTTGAATTACATAAATATTTCAACTATTAACTCGTATATAATGTGTATATATGTACTTAAAACTAACAAAATTATCGGAAAATTATCTAAAAGTGAAAAACTTTGAAAAATGCAAACCTCCACTTTTAAAGTACCAATAACATTAATCGAAAAACGCAGAAACAAAATATTATGCACTTTGCATTAAAGTCCGGGCCATAATATTTAATATTAATATAAACGTGTTGCACGGCGAATGTATAGGCAATTGTGTTACACGAATGTCGATCGGCACCGTCAGTTGGTATGTCGGTACACACCGAATCGAATACAAATCGGACACAGTGACTCGATATACACGATTTCGGAAAATATTATTTCCTTACCTTAAACGTTAAGTTCTCGATGGATTGCGGCAGTCTGTTCAACATTATCATAATCATAAATAACACTGCGACCGTGAACATGATTGTGGCCAATATTGGTACCTGATAGACACCTTTGTAATTGCCGACGTTTACTGTGCAGACGCAAAACACGAATGCGACAACAGCTGTGGAGAAATCAAAATATTATTTTGTTTTTATTTTATTTTATATACACACGATACGGGCTTTATGCCTAATTAACAATAAGTAAAATATTAATAAAATACTAGGAAAAACGTTTACAGTCAGAATGATTGCAATAAACACGTTCAAACATAATAAAGTTTTCTGCCAAGATAGAGTCCCAAATGACAAAATCATACTATAAAATTCGTCCGACTAACGAACAATATAAAGGGCCTTTAACGGATATTTTAACTTAAACTCGAAAAAAATATGTTTTACAAACCCTAGATTAATGAGACATCATTTTTCATCGATTTCTAGTGGTTACATTGTTAATAATGACTGAGATATACAGAACTAGACGCGAGATTTATAGTAACTAACAAAATGTTAAACGGAGAGTGCGGAGTGGCAGTAGGACATTTGGGCATACCCATTTTGACGGGACCGTTTTGGCGGCAGCCCTTTCGAACTAAGGCTATGCGGACGTAAAAAAGTTTATTTGAATTTATATAAATATTGTTAAAATGTTTATTAACGAGAAAGACCATAAAAAATTTTCCTAAATTTTAACCACCGAGATACAACAATTTAAAAATTATATATATATACATATATATATATATATATTTTAGATTTTGAACGGAGCTAGAAATGAGTTGGTTTTACAATGATATTTATTTTATTGGTTTTTTTATGTGAACACTTTCTACTAGAAATTGTATTCCTTAAACAGGTAATTTTTTGAAATTCTCATTAATTTTCAAAAAAATAAGGAAAAACTGATTCTTCAGGTTAAAATAAAAATAGATTGAAAGATTAAAAAAACGTCTTAAGATAATGGGGTCAGGTATAGCCACTGTTATAAGTAAATTTATGTATATATGTAAACAACGATAAACCATAAACTTCGAACATTGGTACGTACGGGGCGTAAAAAAAAACATTATTATAATTGTTATATTGTTATTAATTAGGGGTATTTGAAAACGTACTGTAGATCAATATCAGAATTCTCGATACGTATTGTGTATCGGCGTTCGGTATTTTCGCATTCGCTATATTATCGAACCATTTGACGAAAAATAACACCTCGGAATTTATGTCTTCGTCGTCCCGAACATCCGTACTACTATTATTTTTGTACCTGTATACAAAAAAAAAAGCGACTGTAACGTTATATTTAAATGGTCTCGTATTGTTTCGAAAATATTATTGAATATACCTGAGTATCAATATGCAAATGCAAACGATCGAATAAGATATCAGCGTACCGATAGACGACATCTCGACGAGTTGTTCGATGTCGAATATGGATGATAGTATGGCTGCGGGTAAGTCGATCAGTCAATTTTATAGTATTATTATGACCAACTAGTGGAAGTTCGCCACAGAAAATTTTAACACTAAATTTCAACCTCAAAAAAATCACAAGAAAGTCCACTTATAACTATAATAATCTATAAAGAATACAAATTTGTTCAAACCCTCCTGGTCTCTGTTTTCTGAGTTTATTAATTAAAATCGAATGGATTCGCTTAGCCATTGTTCACCATACATGGCCAACCAAAAAATTTTAGTTTTCAGAAATGTTTGTATGTTTGATCTTTTGAAAATGCTTTTGAGTTCGTCATTTTTCTTTTTTTCATAACTTTCTGACACCGGATTTAGTGTGAATCTGTATATTGTTATCTTCTTTAGCAATTCCTTCTCAAATATTTGGAATTTTGATTTTTCGTCTTTTGTTATCGCCCAGGTCTTACATATATGTTTAACAATAGGACTTTGTAAAACACTGTTTTATTATTATTATATTGTTTATTAATAATTTATTTAAGTGTAACCCCTAACAAATGAATCCAAAAGCCGAGGTGTTGAACTTTTCGTTAGTCAATAGTTTTAAAAAATTTAAAGTACTAGTAGCTATAATAAATAGGTAGGTAGTTTTAAACATTTGTAGTCTCCCAGAGTATTTATCAACAGGCCGCCACTGATTACAACACTAACCTATATGAAATAGTAAAACGGCACGAAAGAGTTTTACCGGAGGCGAATCCGCATATCAACGTGGCGGTGATTGGCGTCCGGGTTTTTTCGTTGACGTTTGACAAAAATTCAAACAGAAGACCGTCGCTGGACATGGCATACAAAATTCGTGGCGTCGGAAATAAACAGCCCAACAAACTAAATGCCGAAAAACAAAATATCGACAGTCAATAGAAAATCAAAACTAAAACAAAAAATGAATAACAATAATAACCACGTACGTCGTGAGCAAAGCGAATACCGCTCCGCAGCTAACCATGTATTTAATTACGGGCATCCCTAAGTTGCTGTAAATGACCGGCAACGGAGCATCCGGATCCTAAAATAATAAATACAATATCTCGATCGAGTGCCGTAAGAGATGGGCGGTTCCGATGGGTTTTTCGTTTGGAAATATCGGAAAATGCTATTATCGTATTAATTACTTGATCATAATACGGCCACATAAGAGTCAGTACCGACGCTACGCCCGCGTACGCCAAAGTGGTGAATAAAAGTGTAAATAGAATTGCCAGAGGAATTGTCTTGTTTGGATTTTTGGTCTCATCGCCTAAATGTACGAACGTGACGTGACGTGGAAAAAAATATAGGAAAGTTGTTACTGTATACTTTAAAAAGTTAGGCTGTATATATACGGAAAATAATTGACCGGAACGATAAAAAATACGGAAAGTAAAGTGACGGGCCGTAATACTGTGGAACGTAAAATAACGGAATTTAATTATTCAAACCATAGTTTTGTAGAACGTATAATTACGGAAACAGAAAAATGTGGAATTTAATATCACGGATAGTAATACTCTGGACTGTGTTATTCAAGAACGTAACAATCACGGGCCGTAGTTTTGCGGAAAGTAAAATTACGGAATTTAAAATACCATAAACCAATGATTCTCAACATAGGTATATCTAATTACGCAACGGTCGAATCAACTTTGGTTTTTTTTTCTAAATCTCCTATGAATAATTTATTATCGGCAAAATAAACGACAGTTGGAAACACATAATTTTATCTTAAATAGAAGGCATAAAGGATCCCTCCGAACATGACTTTTTGATAAATTTAAAATACATTTTTGGGGTTATTTAAGTACCTTCCTATTTAGTTTAAGATCTGAAATTGTGCACATTATTAAAAATAATGGTTTTTAACCATACAATATAAACATTAAAAAAATTAAACCATTTTTAAGTCTAGAAATGTTTTGATTTTTTACGTAATAAATTCATAAGTTCAATTAGGGAGATGACAGGCAAGGCTTAATCGAAAAAAAAATACTTTCAAAGTCATATAATATCAATGCAAAATTAATATTAATAAGGTACACAATTAACATAGAAAATATTCAACGCCAATGCAAACATCACCGCAATTCTCGGCATGGCTTCAAATAGCCCGCCGTTAACTTAGAACAGCGATGGTGATCCTAGTGGACTAAAGCGACGATTAGCGTTTAATAGTTTATGTACCAATTATTATTTTTCCGTAATATTACGTTCCGGTATTTTACGTTCCACACTATAACATTCCGTTATGTTACGTTCCGAGTTTTCACGGTCCGGGATATGGCAGTCCGAAATTTTATATTCCGCCACTTTACGCACCGGGGCATTACGGTCCAAGATATAACGTTCCGTCATTTTACTTTCCGCAAATTTACATTCCGTTGAATTATTTTTCGCATTTTTATAGCCTCCCTTTGAAAACAGACATAATTTTTAAAAATATATAAAAATAATTTAAACCGGTCGTGGCTATCGATTCGAATCCGATGTATCCGTAAAAACATCTGGCGGCTCCGACCAACACTCCCGTCCAGCCAAACGGCAAAAAACCGCCATCACCGCCGGCAGCTCCGGCCGGAATTTCGTTTTCTCGAATGAACCAGTTGGATGGATTGGCTGAAACGATCGCAAGAGTTGTTGTCAAAATTTGAGAGATTGTATGCGTTATTTAACGACAGGTGTCTTTGAATGCACTATATTTTTTCTAACCTTGCATATTATACTATATATAATGTATACATTGTTAAAAATATCAATGAAAACGAATAATTTCGTATGTACCAATTTTATACTAAAAAAAAAAAAATGTCAACATTTACTAATATTTGATTGTGTAAACGTACCAAAATAAAATCCGCTGACAATCACCGTGCCTACGGTCAGTATGTTTAACGTAGTAAACACGCTACTGAGAGCTGAAGACTGTCGAACGCCCCAAGCCAAAACAACTGAAAATGTACAGTAGATACATAATTATAATAACTAACTAATATGAAAACTAACAGAAAAGATTTTTTAACCATCAGAAATCCAAAAATAAATATACGATGCAAGTACATTTTTTCAATATAGTTTTCAATACAATTTAATATTATTTCGTATTTACCCGTTACTGCCATGACGAATACAAACGCCGCAACGTCTGGATATTCGCCCATATAGTCTAAGTGAATTGGGTAATATTTTTGCATCAATGTTTTTTGAGGATCCCCAAGTAGAGCGTCCAGATAATTAGCCATAGCTTTGCCAGCTGCAGCTGTACCTGGAGAAATATCATAATACCCAATGCTTTTGGTTTGTATCGCAATCGTTGTAATTAAAATAAATAAATAATAACATGCATTCAATATTCACTTGTTTTTTTACCCATGAAAAAGAACAACATGTTTTCTTTATCAATTATATAGTAGTTAAAAATGACAATGTGGATTAGAGGATAAGAATAAATTAAGGAGATGGAGTGACAATACGGAGAGGCAGGAATAATAGGAGTTCAAAAAGCATTAGACAGAAATGAACAGAACATGTTTGAAGTTTCCACAAGGGAGATCGGAATAGGATTACTTTGACTAGAGGCGATTTGGATATAGTTTTGATAGTTCACATTTCAATTTTGATAGTTTATTTGATAGTTTAGCACTATTCACTAAACTGCTAAAAGTTTTGGCTAGATGAGTGTTAAGTCATTTAAATGTCAACAAAATCGTAAACCACACAAAAGCAAAGTTCGAGAGATAATAATAATTTCACAGCCAATAGTTCAAAATTATCAGAAACATTTAACGATTACTATTAGTTAAATCATTAATCTTATTCTTAGATGATGCACAATTTAAAATACAGCTATTGTTTGTTTGATTTTGAGTAAGTGGTTTTTTTTTTTTTTTTTCAAAAACAACAAAAAGAAGTTTGGGTTGTTTTAGAATCGGTGGGTGAGATGAGATGACGATAGGTAGGTATTATTTTATACTACTTAAGCCCCCAAATTAAATATTTCAATTCGTCTCTAACTTAGATAAATAACAAGACCAGATACCAAAAGGCCAAAAGAACGTCCAAACAAAAATGTTCGAACAGAGTAAGGGAAAATGTAAGGATGCTGGGCATAGTGGACGACAAAAAGATAGTTGAGGACAAGATAGGTGTAATGAAGTCAGTATTTTATCACTACAATAATACATTTGAATGGTCTATAAAATGCCTCAGCTACATTATTATATTGCATGACATTAAATTTGCAAAAAATAGTTACCTATTGTATTATCGATGAACAAATTCCAGCCAATGACAAACGCGATAAACTCCCCGACAGTCACGTAACTATAAATATAAGCAGATCCGGCTTTAGGTACTCGGCCGGCGAATTCAGCGTAACAGACTCCTAAAAAATGCATATGCATACATTATTTTATGTATTACCTATACGGTAATATATAATAATACTATAATAAACTATTTTACATACGAACTTGATCTACTACATTATCAATTGATACCTGAAATTTCTATTCGCTGTTTACAGAAACCTGGCGAAAACGAATTCAGAACTCCGGAATACTTTTCCTTCGATCGTCCACTCTCCCAAGTACCTACGTCGCTTTTCACGATTATACACTTACCTGAAAACGACGACACGATAGCGGCCACGACGAATGATAGCACGACCGCGGGACCGGCAATCGATTTCGCCACTGTTCCCGCCAAAACATAAATGCCACTGCCCAATGTCGAACCCACGCCCAACGCGATCAGATCGAACACGTTCAGTACCCGTCTTAACTTTTCTTTTCCCGGTTCCGTTTCTTCTGCGGTGAATATTTTCTTCCGGCACAGCGTCCGGTAGAGCGTCTGCGTCTGCATTTTTGGAAGCACAAACGAATATTTAAAACACAAAATGTATTCAAAAAAAATAGACAGTATGTATTTCGGGTGTTTGGTGCAATGTCGCTACGCTTCTCGTTCAGAATACTGCTCATCGATAAGCCACTGTTGTTAGTGGAGTTTTAGAAAGGTAGGAAGTATAGAATAATTATTCAATTTATATCTGTACGTAACGATAGTAGCAAACGAAAACCAACTCTGAACGTAGCCGCGAATGCATTGGTTTTATAACGATGTGTTTTTTTTTTCTGTTTCCGTTTTCAACTTTTCTACCAGAAATCGTGTTCCGATTATCAACTTCAAGGGTAATTTCTGGTAATTTCTGGTATCAAATTTTGTCCAATTGGTAAATTGAGGAGGCTATTGTTTTGGGAAAACAGACAAATTTATGCAATACATATTTCTATTATTTTTTTTGTTTTAGCCAAATAAAACTAAAAAAAAAAAATGGAAAATGTCTAGTCGCTATAGTCAGTTCGAAAATCTTCAGAATTTTTTAAACATTTCGTCACGTCCAGAATGTAAGTATTTAGTAAAAATGTGGTTCTTTACTGACTGTGTAATAATTTCTAATAAAACTCACAATATATAATATAACCCGTGGAGATAAACAAGATGAAAAGTAAAACCAATATGCATTCCTCGCTAAGTTCAGAATCTAAAATTGAATACAATATTCAGTCCCGAATAGTAGTGTTTCGATCAATAGCGTACTCAGAAAAAAGACTAAAGAGGCTTGAGCTCTTTCATTTAACGTGTTAAATACAAAAAACTAAAACCAATAGTTCCGAGAGTACAACTCTCTCTCATTTTGGGAATATTTATATGAACGTAGTAAACTGCGTATTTTTGGAAACATTGAAAAGTATACACGCATTGAGTTCAGTAAAAGTATTATATCATTATTATATCGTTTATACATGCACTGTACCACACAGTAAGTTATACGTGCCAGTAACAGTTATAGTCAATAAATTCTGAACAATAACATTTTAGTATCTTTGTTAATAGTGAGCTTTATTTTGTTTATATTTTGTTCGAGAGTAGAGTAACTCGTATATTTTTGTTCTTATCGTATCTATAGCTACTCCACTCGTCCGTCGTAACACTTTCGCCTCATTCGCAACACTAATTTTCCGTTTGAATATCTCAATTAATGGCTAACGTTTAAAATTATACAAATCATTTTCTGCAAATGTAAAAATATTAAAAATTTACAAATTTTTAAGTACCTATAGGGTGATCGGCATAAACATAAGACACTAATTATCTCGAGAAGTATAATTTTTTTTTTTTTCAGAATTCGTGTTCTGAGTCAATAAAGAAATAAATATCTCTCAAATGTTACATTACGGCTATTTTTTATTGCTCTTATTTTAAGAGGTGCAACCATTACATCATACTTTTGATTTACAAATGACAACCCATACTTATATGTATCTCATCAACAGGTTGACGGATATCAGAAATGTTAACATCGAAATTGATTTAAACTAATACGCCAATTATTTGTATGGAATATTTGATATTGGTTGTATTTGAAAATCAAAAGTATTTAATGGTTACATTCATTCAAGCGTGACGAAAAAGAGTAATGCAACATTTAGTGCTTCCTTTTTTCAAAGTTAAATATTCTAAAAAACCAAAGTTAATACTCTCCGAAATAATTAGTGCCTTACTTTATATTGATCACTCTGTATATAAATATATACAATAATTATTATTCACGTATTAATTAAATATGATCTAAAACAAACGCAGTTAAATAAAGTTGGTAAATTCTGAATTTTTAAAAGTTAGAAACCAAAGATAGTATCGGAATAACGGAAGTATAATTTAGACGGGAATTGCTGCGGCTTTTCGTTTAAAGTCGCCTTCACACAACACCTCTTCGAAAATGTCCACGGTCTTCCATGTCTGATGTATACATAAACATAATATTGTACGTGTATTGTGTGACGAAAACCAAACTACAAGGAAAAATTATCTTATAGGTGAAATCATGCAACGATGGTTTGATAAAGTCGCGGAAGATGTAACAATATACTATAGAAGTGAAAAGTTCTAAAAGAAACGTAGCGCTGAACAGAAAAAGACAGGGAGACGTGTGTGATGCAACAATACAGGTCTAAACGGCTTTCGAAGTTGAAAAAAGAACAGCAACAACAAAATCCGAATATACTTACGTTGCCGATCATGTTTTGTCGTGTTTCCGAAACGGTACCGGTGGCAAAAAGAGCTCGAGTAAAACGACACGACGGTGAGTCCCGGTTAAACGTCAAATGGAATTATTTACGTTCAACGGCAATCGACAGTTCTTCAAATATCGTTACCGTTAATTATCCTGCGATTATAAAAAAAAAAAAAAAACTTCCGCAGTAAATTTTCGGATTACACACGATATAGATCGCGGTGTTTGGTACTTCAATCATCATACTATAGTACGTTTTCGTACGTTCGGGGAACAAAACAATAAAATTATTACAATATAAATACGATACATTACAATAATACAGATACGAATTGAATAGCGATAATATATGATCCTCACTCGAAACGTTCGGATTAATAATTTATACTAGTTTTTTTTTTTTTTTTCTATCTAAACATACGATTTAATCCCTCAATAAATTCTATACAAGTTTGACACTACAATTATAGACACCTATCGATAAGTATAAGATTTCCAAATAATCGTATACAGAGAATAATATTTCTTTTTTGAGTGTACGGATTAGAAATCGGTATACTGACCGGTATACTGTTATTATAGGGACCGATATTTCAGAAAATTATAAACTCAACGGTTTCAAAAATGGGCGTAAATAAATTGAGTCCCAAACAAATTTATCCTTTTTTCAAAATCGGTTAATTGAGTCCTTCGTATAAAAATGAAAGCAGTAAATTCAATTCTATTTGAACTATGATCAAATACTGTTATTTTTATTATTATTACTAAAGACCGGATTTTGCATGAAATGCATGTTACTATTTTCAACATCATATACATGCAGTCAATGAGTGTCCATGAATTGAAACTTAACTGATTTAATTTTAAAATTGTATACTGCATATTTTTGCATATTTTGACATTAGTGCATATTCTGCATATTTTTGCATATTTTAACAAAAATACACCTCACGGTCTAATAAGGTGTCGAACAAAAACAAAAAGATTATAGGTACGTTAATATATTAAATATTTTACGTTAAAAAGAATATTCGGACGCTAAGAATAGGTCAACTAAATTTACATAATGGAAAAGTGGTTTACCTTTCTTATCAAGATTATTCCTTAGATATAATTTTATCAACAAGATTAGATTGATAAAATTTCCTGCTGTATATATATACCGACCCAATTATTGTTAGTACGAAATACGCCGTTGTCAAGTTAATGTATTGAATTCACGTGTTTTTTAAATTTTATTGTGCATGTTTTTTTCTCGCATATCTTGCTTTTTTTTAGTGCATGTTTACATGCTTATTTTACAATTTAAAATGCATACAGATCCGGTATTTAATTATAGCATTTATCATTTAATCACACAGAATACACTATTTTAGACGGTACGCATTTTAGAATCCGAGCGTAGCGAAGGAACTATTGATTTTACTAAGATGTTTATTTTTTTTTTTTTTTTTAGTCTGTAGACACATTTTTTCCTAAGCTTACTCCGATTTTTACGTGTAACAACTTTTTTGAAAGCTCAAGTTGTCTAGATTGTATATTAAAGAGGTCAATTTTTTGATTTTTGACACCATTATTTAAATAAAACACTTAAGTGGGAAAAAACATGGGAAAATGTCACGATTCCATTATTTTATAAAAACATGGACGAAGTTTTCTACCAGAAAAAATGATTTAACGAAAAAATCACTAAACACATTTTTTGTTGCATTTTTATTTTATTTTTTTTTTATAGTATTATCGTCAAACCTTTTGTGCTACTTTTGAGCTTCTAAGGAATTTTAATTTTTGGGAGTTTTTTTTGCTGTAATTCGGTTATAAATACACGTAAAGATTAGAAACCAGGTAATAATACTTATATTGGTATTACTTAAACGTGGTCAAATTTCCAAAATTATCGGACTTTTTTTTTTTTTATAATAAGCGTTTTGAACTCAAATTTAAACGAAAATCGCAAAAAAATTACGGCACTTCAAATTATGTATTATCGAACTGAGCTCGGAATCGTCTTTTTTAAAAAATTGCTTATCGTTGCTTACAAATATAAATTAAATAATTGTATATTAGTTAATTAGTTTTTTCATATTTTGACAGTATTAATTATTATAATTATTATTTTATATTGATTCATTTTTCATATTTTAACAATATTGATTATTATTGGTAACATGAGTAACACATATTTTATTTATTATTATTATGTAAATTAATAAATTTAATATATACATTAAATATTTCAAACAGGACACAGTTTATCGCTTTTATTTTTTTTACGAGGAACCGAATTTACCTAAAAATAATAAATTGGGACTCAATTTACCAAATCCATCCAAGAATGTGCGCAAGATACATAATAGTTTTGTTGTACGTGCCATTATTTGAACGAACTATAGTAAAAATGGTCATACCTAGCCTCCGTCCAGAGTGATATTTACATTTCACACCTCTAGAATATAAATGGCGTAAAGGCATTTTTTTTATTTCTTATAAGACGTATTCGAGAACACCTGACCATCGCTCGTTACAAACGCATGAACTACGTCTAACCATTTTACAGATATTGTCCACTGATTTTGATGACAACAAAATTTAAACTTGGGTTTTCGAATGATAACCGTGCCAATTAACATAATATTGTGTTGAACATTGAAATACGAAGCGTCCTATATATTATGGTTTAAAGACGACTTATAAGACAATTTAACGTCACAGATTTATACGCTGATCAATAACTAATTTTGACTTATTTATTACTGATAATCTTTATTTTATTATAACGTTCGGCAATGAAAAATTAGTAATTTAGTAATGCGTACTTAATAGTTATCCATAATAAAATTAGTTTTATGGATAGTTTTTTCCGGAAATAAAACACGTAACTAATCATTGATACTAAAAAAAAAAAAGTATGTTTAATAATAATAACAAACATTGACTACCTATGGTTGAAAATATTCAACCAATTCAACCATTCAAACTTTTTTTTTTTTATAGAACGACTATCCACCTCTAGGTTAATAATATTGCCCATTATAAAATGCAATTTAAATTAATTTACACGTTTATTTACAATTTTTATTCCAAAACAGATGTATAGTAATAAATTAATAATATATACAAACTAAAATATAATATACCGTTTTGATTAATTGCGGAACACACGGTGACTGTGACATTTTAATGTAGATATAACCGCTTAAAATACAGTATCAGTAGTTCCCGAAATATATATACATACAAAATTATAAACAAATTAAATAAGAAAATGATCAATACAAAATTTTATAATAAATAATTACGATTAGAGTGCAATTTTTTGTATTTGTCCGTCTTTTATGTCTTCCGATACGCTTTGTTTTTTGCCCTCGATACTATTCCGAGCTCCGTATATCACGTATATGAATATTCCTGTAAATAAACAAATCGAGTATATTAATTTCAAAAGATAAATTCAGGGGATGATCCGCCGCATGATTTGTATAAAGCATCACAACGTTAACGGTTTTGCGTATACATATTTCTATTAATATATATTGTTTATACATTCTGACAATATTTTCAAACCGCGACCCGGTAAATAATTGGCCACTATAAATACTATCCCAATAATTGTTTATGGTTTATTTTCAAATATTAGACAATAAATATTTGTATAAATATATACAAACATTAGTTGTTGAATATTGAGCGAGTAGTGTTGTACTAAAAATTATGTATCGATTGAAAAAATTGAAAACATCGTTTGTTTACACATATTAATCGAATCAAAATACAATTTCTCAGAAAACATTGTAACATTTAAATGTTGTTTGTCAAATGCTTGTTAGTTATTTTTAAAAATTGTACAATATTTCTATAAAACTTTATTTGCGTTTGCAAATGTTAGTCAAAGGTTTGACAAATGTCATTTGAACTAAATCATGTTATTAAATAAACAATTGAACACAAACTTTGACTAATTATCAGTCAAAAATTTAGGGGGAGTTAACTCATCCCCAAATAAAGTCTTAAGAGAAGCCTTACACTAATAGCATTATAACGCTCATGCATGTGCGAAAATATAATCTTACTGTATTTATGTTTGTTAAATTTATAATATACTCTGCATGTTATAATCGTACTGTATTTACGTTACATTATGTAAAATAGGGCCTCGCCTGTTAAAAAATAAAATACAAATACAAATACAAACCTATTATGATCCCCGAACCGAATCGTATCCACGTCTTGTAACTCAGCTCCATCATTAGGTAAAAATTGAGAACGATACTCAAACATGGTATAAAAGGAACGAAGGGTACCTGCGAAAAAATAAACAAATACATTTTCCGAATCTGGATCACCTGAAAGACTGAAACCGTAGACTGATAGAAGTATTAAACTGATAATAGACAGAAAGATACGAGATTCAATCATGAATGGACTGAAAACCGCGGAATCAGCACGGTGAGTCGGTGACGGGACCCACGAATAGATATGTTTATCACCTATGTATACACCCATGTAAACAATTTTGTTAGGGCTAAAGCTCCTCTACAGAAAACCATCATACTACGCTTATGGATAACGCCAGTGTATAAAGCGTACAGTTCACTGGGTGCACCATGCTCGCGAGCCACAAGCGGCCTGTTGCTGCTCTCGGTTGCAATCCATTCTATCTCAGTCAATGGTACCAACATTGGTAGAAAAAGAGACACAGCAAACATTAGACTATCAAAGATGAAAAAATTCAATATCATGAGTGGAAATTAAATGGTAGTTATTATTATCAATTATATATATTATATATATTTTATATCTTTGGTCTATTTGCATGCCAATGGGTGGATACATGCATAATTGGAATATTTCAAACGAAGCTGATATCTGGCGAAGGAATAAACTGAATTTTTCTCTTTTACACCTGTAATCTATGACCAATGTATACATGTACATATTATTTACAATTTTTTCGATTGATACCTACTCCCCAAATTTTCCTGTAAGCTGCAAGCTTGAGACATGAGTAACTGTAACTTAATTCCTCTATTTATTTAATAGTTCCCTATTGAGATTTCATTTGGCTTAACTGATCTTAAATGACCTCTTATTTAAATCTCAAGTTGGAGTTCATTATGAAATTCATAATTCGCAGAGTTCTTATTTATGTGGAATATTATAATTGAACATTTTTCTAACCACCTAACCTGACCTGCTGATCCTGTTCAATTGCTAATATTCTTAAATTTTAAAATAACTTGTCTGTATTAAGTTTTTCATTATAGTAATGGTTTTCTTAAAAATTCTCTGTATCTTTCTAACAGTGTTACCTTAGATAAACTAAAGACCGGGTATGGGAGATATAAATACATTCAGGTATTACAGTTCTACACATGAAACGCCCTAAACGCCGTGATCATTCCATGTATGTAAATAATATTAACGTATTATAGCACGGTGAATGTGTAGACAATCGTATTATGTGGATTTAAGTACATATTACATATCAATTCGAATACTCATGCGATGACTAAGACATGATATCGGAAAATATTATTTCCTTACCTTAAACATCAAGTTCTCGATTGCTTGTGGCAGTCTGTTCAACACAATCGGGATGATTAATAAGACTGCGACAGTAAACACTATGGTAACTACTATTGGTACCTGATAAGCACCTCCATAGCAATCAATGTTTACCGAACATATGCAAAATACGAATGCGGTAATAGCTGTAACAGAACAATATAACATTATTATCAACGACTAATGTCACACACAAAATAAATCGATTTAAATTGATTAGATTAGATCCCGTTTTCTTTTTATGCACTAGTCAAAACATAATATAGCAATAGGTATACAACAATACTAATCTATTTCAAAAAAAAAAAAATAATAATAATAATTAATAAGCCGTCAAATTAGCACCTGCAGTTTCTATCTTTTTAATAGACAGTATAGCAAAAAGAGTGTATACGTAAAACAACCGAAAATACTTTTAAAATGAATCTTAAAGATAAAACATTAAGACACATGTAATAAAATGTTTAAATGACGACATTTTGATGATGCCTGTTTCTGCATTTTACATTTTTTTAAATATTCAACTGGTTGTCGAACATACAACAAGTGAGTCTGTCTTTAAAATATAATCATTTACAAATCGTATAACAAATGTTTACGTAAACATTTTTTTGATTTATTTAGAAGACTACAAAGATTTCGAATATTTTACTGTAATGGCCTCTTAAGAATTGTGTAATTCGAAGACGTACTGTAAATCGATATCAATATTCTCGACGCGAATTGAGTGTCCGCGTTTGGTATTTTCGCGTTCGCCAAATCAAACCAACTGTTGAAAAATGAATTGTTTGAATCGATGTTAGTGTCATTATCCCGAACTTCCGTATCGTTGTTTTTATATCTACATAAAAAAACAAAAGCTATCCGTAAAATAAACTAATGACGTCGGCAAGTCACATTGTATATAGCCGCAATGTAAAGTATATACACTAATCGATAGCACGGCTGCATCCGAATCGGTTCTTATACCCAACAATTGACATTCGAATTGATTCCCAATAAATACTTTCGAAAAAAGCGAAATGCAATCTTATAATATTATTTCATAATAATATAATATAATATTTCCCATCATTATTACATATTTTTACCTCAATTAAATAAAAATATCGAAAGGGAAAACTAAATAAACATATGAAACATATTATTATACAAAAATAAATAAATTTAAAAAAAAATAAAATAAGTTTATCAAAAAAAAAATATATAAAATTAAAATTAAATACATTATGACCTAGGTATTTTAAAACAAAAATCATAATTTTTAACCGTACGGTACGGCTAGATTAGGTCTGTACCTGCATAATATGTAGACAGACCTTGGTCTGTATAAAATGGGAAGGAAAATTTAAATTGCTTTTAAAATAATCTGGGAAACAATCTGGACGTTTGAGAACAAAATTAGATACATCGGATAGCACGATATCTGGATGATATATTTTTCCCTTGACTTATACTTAGTAACCTAACCTAATCTACATCTTTTATATTATTTTTACGACTACCTTTTTTAAAAATTCAAATTTCTTCACATTTTAGTCATGAAAATCAAACGTTTGGTGAGTCGGTAACTTTAACCTATAGTTAACATATTAAAAATTCGATACGCTCCGAATCTCCAAAAATTTCTGTAGGCTCTAATACACTACATACCTGAGTATCAATACGCAGACGCAAACGATCAAATACGATATCAGCGTACCGATGGACGTCATTTCGACGAGTTGTTCGAGATTGAACACGGTCGATAATATTCCTGTAAAAAAAAATTAATCGGTTAATGATTACAGTCATATTACGGAAATCGAAAATACTATTTTCATACCGGCACCCAATCCGGATATTAGCGTAGCGACGAGGGGTGTTTTGGTTTTCTCGTTAACTATCGACAGAAATTCGAACAGCAGACCGTCGCTGGCCATGGAGTACAAGATTCGCGGTATTGGGAACAAACATCCCAACAAACTGAATACGAAAAAAAGATCCGATAAAATTCATATTTGCTTAGAAACTAAACTGATAAAAAAAAAAATTATAATAACAAAATAAATCGCACGTGGTAAACAATGCGAATATCGCTCCACAGGTAACCATATACTTGATCACGGGCATTCCCAAGTGCTCGTAGACGACCGAAAACGGAGCTTCCGTATCCTAAAACAATTTTCTAATATTATTACAATCAATCAAGTAACGTGATATCAGCGGGATAATATCTTAGACATAATATAACTGAACTAAGGATGATAGTAAAACCGTAAAGACATACGTGACACGAGGAAAATTTGGGGATATACCAAAGACCAGATCCTAAAAACCTAAAAACTTATATTCGTTAAAAACCGCGTCGGGTGAAAATGAATGAGGAAAACTCGACGGGCGGATCATATTTATTGTATAAAAGTCGTTTGGCGGAGCGACCGCGCATAAAAGATTGATGTATTATAATGTATGATAGTTTGGGAAGAACGGTTAACAACAATGAAATGCATTATGCACGACAACTTTCTGCCGCTGTACCTTTACAAACATTATTAATTATTCCTAGGGAGAGGTGAGGGGGTTATTATTTCATTCGGACGATCGGAAAATAATAATGGTTTTAAATACTTGATCGTAATACGGCCACATGAGAGTCAGTACGGACGCTACGCCCACGTACACCAACGTGGCCACCAGCAGTGAAAACATAATCGCCAGAGGAATAGTTTTTTTTGGATTTTTCGTCTCTTCGCCTGTTGCGCGTACGACAAAATAAACACCATAACAAATGCACACAATCAGATCAAATATAAACGCTAAAGATAAGCTACATAAATACTACGCACCTGTCGTGGATATCGATTCGAATCCGATGAACCCGTAAAAACATCGCGCGGCTCCCACCACCACACCGGTCCAGCCGAACGGCAAAAAGCCGCCTTCTCCGCCTTTCACTCCGACCGGAATTTCGCTTTTCGGAATGAACCAATTGGACAGATTTGCTGAAATCGATCATAGCCGAGTTAAACCCCTGAATTATTAATATTATAACGGTATCCGTGGTAGAAAATCTCCGAACGTTAAAGACGACGAGGCGCTCGTTACATTTAATAGATATTTACACTTGCGTACTACAACCAATGAATTCGCGTATTACCAGGGATGGTATGTGAGAGAGTAGAGTTTAATAAGTAAATTCTCGCCACCTTATTGTATACTTGTGATTTTCACTGTGATATTTACGAAAAAAAAACAATATTTTAATCTGTTTGTTCGTTTGATATTTATTTATTTATTTTAAGGGAAAAGTTATTTTGAAAATGCATATGATATAATAATATACTCATATATATTACATACATTTATGTACATAATATTATAAATTATGTATTATTATATATTATGTGATAGTGATTTTTCATTACTGCAAAACAGTTTAAACATGTTTACTGATTGGTGTAGTAATAACGGCATGCCATTGAATATAGAGAAATATACCATATTAGTTTTTCTTTAAAAAACAAAAAAATATTATTCATCATGTCATAAACAATATAAACATAACGCTAAAGTAAATGAGGAAAAGGATCTCGGTACTATAGTTGATTCGAGACTAAATTTTAATTCTCATGTACGGAATATTATAAATAAGGCTTTTTCAAAACTAGGTTTTTTGAAGCGTGCGTGTAAGGATTTCATGATGTGTACGTACACTAAATATATTGTACGTTACTTTAGTTCGTCCTCGCCTAGGATATGCGAATTTCATATGGCATTCTAACTCCATAACTCAAAATCATAATATATCGAAAATAAAAACCAATTTCTTACGATATCTATGCGTTCAACGTAATTTAGGTATTCCAGAAACCACCAGAAGCAGCTTCAAAAACTCGGTCGGGGGGAGGGGCCCGAGTCATATTTTTCAGAAAACGTTATAACAAAAAGCATATTTTATATATTTTATAATTCATTAACCTGTACGTGTCTGTAATCGTCGATAGTATAATATATATATTTTTTTTGTCACATTGTTTTTAACAAAAAATACAGGCTCTCATCAAGCCATGACCCCTAGATCTCTATTATTACTATACCAGTTTTGTGTACATACTTACCGAAATAAATTCCACTTGTGATCACAGTGCCCACCGTCAACAAGTTTAACACAGTAAATACGCTGTTGAGGGTTGAAGATTTACGAACACCCCAAGCCAAAACAACTATAAATGTTTAATATTATACAACATTAAAACTTATAAGCAGTGCTCGGAATTAAAATCACTATAAAAGTTAATTTCTAGTTCTAAAAATTATAAAATATGCGAATTACAATTTTCCGATTACATTTTTCAAAATTAATCCGATACCCTCACACTCAATTAATGATTGAAAAATGCTAATACTTCCAAGTCTTGTTTACGAGTATAAGTAAGAAAAGGTGAATAAATTTGTATTTTTGAAAACAGACGAAGAAGATTTTTTTCGTAACGTTAATATTGCTAACAAATCACTGATATTTATGTATATATTTTTTTTCATTCACATAAGTCTCTTTAGCCGCATTGAATAATAATATACTCGTGTATATCCTACTAATAATATTATAAATGTGAACGTTTGTGAAGTTGCATGGATGTTTGTTATTTTTTCACGCAAAAACTACTGAACAAATTTTGATGAATTTTGGTATAGAGATGGATGTGACCTTGGAGAAAAACATAGGCTACTTTTTGTCACGAAAATAAAACTTGAAGGAAATGACGTAGGGGATGAAAGGTTTTTAGGTATTTTTAATACAAAAATTCAAATATTTTTATTGAATTATGGATAACAGTAATAATAACACGAATTAATTGAAAGAAAAATTAAAACAAATATGTAAATAATAAACAGAAATAAAAATGCCGTAAGTAAAACGTTATCTCTGAATCTTTGTTTTTTTGGTACAGTAACAATACTACCGTACCATTATTTTCTCATAATTTTAGTTATTATAGTGAATATATAGTTTAACCTCTATGTTCTTTAGGTATCTATGGCAACACGAATTTAAAAAATGTATGATACCTACACTAGAACACTTTTAGTCCTCGGACTACCCACTTTCCACCCATTTTTTTTTTAGTTCAATGTACTGATACGGACAAAGCAAAACGGAAATAAAAGTAAAAAAAAAAATAAAAAATTAGTACGTAAGACACCGGGCGCGGGATAGCCAGTGAATATATGAACACGATCTAAGTATATTTTTTTAATTATTTTCAATTAAATTCAACATTGTTTCATATAATTACTTGCTATAAGCATGATGAAAAAAAAAGACCCAATGTCTGGATATTCTCCCAAAAAGTCGACGTGCATTGGATAATGTTTTTTCATGTATCTTTTTTGAGGGTCTCCGAGTATAGCGTCCAAACAATTGGTCATAGCCTTGCCGACCGAAGCCGTTCCTACAGAAAAAAAACCGTCATAATATTAAATATTAAATTTGTACATTTTACTATTTAAATTATATTATGTTATATATTCACAAAATTATCTACTACCTATCGTGTGATCGATGAACAAATTCCAGCCAATTATGAATGCGATAAACTCACCGACGGTCACGTAACTGTAAATATAAGCGGATCCGGCTTTGGGTACTCGGCCGGCAAATTCGGCATAACAAACTCCTATGGGAGAAACACATATTAACTGGATTTTTTTTAGTGCTCAGGAGAATGATGATACAATATTATAAAACCCTGGAAATTGTATTCAAGACATGGAAACAGCTTGACCACTAATACTGGGAAAAACTGGGATACTGGACAAATTTAGTTAGCCTCATTCATTGGCCTAGACCATTGGCCTAATGGTTTACATTTATTTTTGTTGTTTTTGTATTATTATGAATTTTTAATACAAGTGCCTAGTTATAATGTGTTTAATCCTTGATTTCAGTAGTCCGACCACTTTTGTACATGGATATTTGGGAAAGTAGATACTGTTCAGTGTATACCTAGTTTAGTTAATATACTACGTATAATGGTAACTCATTGCAAACCAAAAACAGTTCTGAGTGGATTAGTATTTGTTATGTATATTTTCTTCTTGCCAAGGGACTCCAGCAAACAAAAAAAAATAAATAAATAAATAACAAAAAAATATCTAAGGGATTAACTGGTAAAAATTTTGATAAATGTTACAAATGATGTACTATAAATCAAAAATTCGCATTTTTTAATGTATGGCCAACGTTTCCAACTCATTTTTTCTAAACTCCCTATATTTGGTATCAGAATTTTAAAATTTTACATTTCAGTTGTATATAACAATTTATTATTAATTCTATGATAACATGACTAATAATAACAGACCATAGTTGTATACATAATCATCGTGATTATATTCTATGTTTATATAACATAGTAAAACATGTTTTATGCTTTTTACAACCAATGATTCAAAACTGAAAAACCTCTTATTATCTATTCCCTATTATAATACACATGCTATCTAATAACAATTTTTCTTAATTCCTAAGAAAATTTCTTTATAGTAGACAATAGAAAAATCGAAATGTTTTTACTAATAGAATACGTGTTTTCTGATAATACAATAAAACACGTCTTATTGTAAAACTAATAAATCTAAACAATTTCGTATCCAGATACAGAAATCTGAAAAGTTTAGGTAATCGTTTCTAATGTTTTCCCGGTTTTTTCAAATTTGTTTTGTTATTTGGTAAAAATTTTCAATTTGCATAACTTCAATATATATGGTTTTAGTACACCCGTTAGTCGTTACAATAAAATTGTATGAAATTTATATTGTACAAATGAAACCCCGTGAAAACAAATTTTCGAGTGCTCCAGAGTACCTAACTTCCTAACAATCGTCCGATTCAGAGAACAAAACGCTCGTAGCGAGTTCCCTTACCTGAAAACGACGACACGATCGCGGCCACGACGAAAGACAGCACAACTGCGGGACCGGCAATCGATTTAGCCACCGTTCCGGCCAAAATGTAAACACCGCTGCCTAAAGTTGCACCCACGCCTAACGACGTCAAATCGAACACAGTCAGCACCCGTCTAAACTTTTCTTTTCCAGGTTCCGTGTCTTCCGCGGTGAACGTTTTCTTCCGGCATAACGTCCGGTATAGTGTCTGCGTTTATATATGCAAACAAATATATAAAAAAAAAAAAAAAAAAAAAAAAAAAACACAATTTAACACCTTGGCCATTATACTGTAATACATTATGTTTAACCGTTCGACAAATTTGGATTTTGTCCGTACTCGAACAACACTCTTTAGAAATAAAGGTTGACACTATGACATGAAAGTCAAGAAGAATCCACCGTATTATACGTTCCCGATAATATTATAACAATAAAATGACTATAATGCACAGTGGTTAAAGTGGGACATATTTCGAAAGGGGACCATATTTACCAAAAGTTGAGGGGTGCTCCATGTGAACTAGAACTAAATAAAATTTCAGGAAACCCACCATGGAGACACTTCCGAAATGGCAAAATATTTTTCTATTACTCAAATTTTATGCTAATATAACTGCACCTATCCCTTCAAAGCAATCCCCTCCCTCCCCGATCTTCGAATACTTAAACTAAAGGGATAGATAATTTTGACTTAAATAAGAAAGGAGACACTTGTCCACACTTTAACCAATCACAATGAGTCGGACTTTACTAGAAAATAAATTAAATTCAAGAGAAACACGGAGAATTAATTCACTTAGTTCACCACAATCTGAGGATTGAAAACTAAAAATTAAAAATCCGCTTGATGTTTGCAATATTTACCGTCATTAGAATTAAGTATAATGAATAATTATTCTAGAACTCTATTTCGTTCTATTTTCATGAATATATATATATATATAAATAATTACGGGGATCACAATAGACTATATTATCCAAAGTATAGGGATCACATACGAATTGAGAATATTATCGTAGATTGAAACTGTATGTAAATATTATATTATAATAATAGAATTTTATAGTAATTATTTAAGGACAAAATAATATAATTGAAAAAATGTGTTACTTTTTTTTATCCCGAAGTAACAACAAGTGCTGTTTAATTTAATTTAAATTTTAAGAATGAATAGGAAATTTAAAATTAATATACTCACTTTTCAGAACAGTGTATATTAGTTATTTTTTTTTTTTAATCTAATTCTTTAACTTTTAAACGTGTAAGTATGATACACGTGTTTGTGTACACGTCTCAGACATAGAGTTGTTTAAAACGTTTTAAAAAAAATTATGATTAAAAAAACCCTTCCTAACCCTGAATGGTATACAGACAAAAAGTCGAGTACTTACGTTGCCGGTCATCTTTTTACGCGATGTTTTCGAAACGGTCTCGACGACTATAATATGTGCGCGAGTAAAAAACCAACACGTTATATATAGATGTACGATTAGGCCGTTTCAATAATAATTATGTTCTGGTGCGACTCCACCAGATTGCATGAGTCAGCGCCCTCCGATAAAAATACAACTTTCGCGAAGAGTCGTCGGATTATAAACGCATATTATACGACACTCAGTAACAATTCACTTTTATCGGTGCACCTTCGGTTATAGTGCGATAGCAACAAAGTGGGTATTATCCTTGGTTTGCGTGTGTCGAGTACGTTTCCGCCCGGCACCAGCAGAAGACTCAATGCGTACACTCAAATGGCACGTCACGATTTTGACCGACGGTGATAACTTTATTGGCGAGCGATACATATACATGCATATTTATTATAATTATCCCCGAACACAATATTTTCCATCGTTTCGTAAGAAATAATAAAATACGGTTTTATTGCATGCACTATAGTTTTACTGCGGGTAAACAATTATATATTATACAAGATGATTTATTTTTTTTTTTCAATTCACAGCGAAGCGTGGAATATACTAAACTACTTAATTTATCGGTTATTTACTGCGGTGTGGTTTTTTTTTTTTTTTTTTTTGGTCTGCAAACGATTTTTTTTACCAGACCTTTTGCTCCGATCATAAACCTTATAGGAATTTTCTCGCGGCCATTTTCAACTAATCAATACATTGGGCAGGTGGTTTTTTGATTTTTCTCGTAATGGTTTTTTAATCAATGGGATAACTAGCAATTTCTTGTATGTTTGTTGATTTCTCAGTTGTCTCGATAACAAAGAAAAAAATTATGATTAGTAATAATAATAATAGCAGGGAAATAGAGTGCGCATGTACAAATACAATTTAATTTAACTCCCTAAATGAATTGATGTATGGAAAGTACGGACATAGCATATTTTATATTATCAAATTTTTAATAGGTTTCTACAGGAGCGGATCGGCCTATCGGGAAATCGGTAATCATCCCAATGAGCCGGTTCTTGTAAGGGCCGCTATACTTATTATATAATTACAAAAAAGTTATATTTTTGTAAAACAAGTATAAAATATTACAAAATTAAATATGAAGATATTATTTTGGTGCTTATTGATAGATTCGTATTATCGTAATAAATGATTTTGTTTAAATTTTAGATTTAAAAATACGGACATACTTCACAGCTGTTGTAGGTAAGAAGTTGGAAAGTAGGATACAGACGGGAATTTAATGTCTATGTGTAAGCAACGATAAACTATTGCTAACTAAAACCGATTCTGAGCGGAATTCAGTTGATAGTTACATTGTCAACAATATATATCATATTATGTCATATTATGGTAAAATTATTACAACAATGTGCGTTTCCATGATAACAATAATTGTTTAAAAAAAATCAAAATAATAACAAAAAATAAATAAAAAAGATTACCAATAAAAACCTTCTTTTTAATATTTCAATCTTTTTTAATCTAAATAACCAGGTTTTCCTTATTATTTCAAATATTAATGAAAATTTAAAAAATAACCTCTCTAAAATATCACCCAGAGAACACTTCCTTTCAGAAAAACTACCATATTTGATAATCGAAATATGATTTTTAGTAGAAAAAGTGTTCACATTAAAAAAAAAATAAACATCATTATAAAACCAATACATTCCTCGCTCCACTCAAAATCTAAAAATATAAAAATAACATTAATCGTCAATTATATTATAAAAAATTATCTAATAAAACGTATTTTTTCCTTTCCTTTATTTATTCAAAATTCATACATAAATGCCGAAGTTTAGATTCTTTATCATAATGAAAACCGAAATCCAAGAAATTACAAACCCTGCTCAGAAGCGTTTTTTCGTGAGCAATGGTTTATCGTTGCGTTCATTCCTCTGTACATACTTCCTTATAACTCCACTCCTAAAACAAGCGGTACACCCATCAGCAGTCTCAGTCATTTTTTTAAAAATTTGTTATAGAATATTGTTTATATGATTTAACAATATTTTCGAAAATTTACTCTTATCCCGTACGCTGTAAGCACTTGTCAAATTTGATTTTCAAATAACAACCTCAAGATTGAAATCAAATTCAAAAAGAAAATGTTTGTCCAAAAATATGTCGATACGCATAACACTAGCTATTATTGAATTTATGAGCTAGATATGACAGTTTGAAATTTGATCACTTGTTAGTAAGTTCTTGTCCGAAATGGATATGAAATTTAATATTTTCCCCTTCTCAAACAATATTCGAGAGATAGGTAGTGCGTAATGATCCCCATAAATATGTAATACCTCTTCAAAAAGCTTGTGTATAATAAAAATCGCCGCGATATTAAAACCAATAAATTTTATATTGCGGATCTGATGCAATTTAGAAATCGACTTATAAATATAATTAATTATAACATAAATTTAAATATGTTATACGGATAAATAATTCTCATTAATGTGGCCGGGCCATCTCAGAGACATTTATAGTCTTTCAGTCTTTGTTTTTCTAACCTGCAATATAGCAAAACGTATTCACAGATCGATTATACAGGTAAAACACATACTATAAAGCTGTAAATTACAAGATTTTGAAGAACACTTGGTTTAAAGTTCTTCGACTCATTATCGAAGGTACAAAATAATGTATTTTATAGATTATTGTTTTATATAAAAATTAGTATGTATGTAGCTTGGTACAAATAGCGTCAACGGTAAACCAAAAATGTTTTAATTTAAAATAAATACATTTTTTCCGAAAATTACAAAAATCTAATATAAAGTCTATCGTGATTTTGATAGTTATTTTTTTTTAATAAAGTTAAAAGTTAAAATAAACACTGTTGAAACTTTCAAACATTTATATTGTTGTCATATATAAGTTTTATCATAGTTGTTTTATATCTAAATCCTATTTTTAATGTCTTTTAGTTTATTTTACGTGAACACATTTTAGATTCTGACTATTTTGAGCAGAACGAGAAATGTTGTGGTTTTACAATAAATTGTTTTTTTTTTTTTTTCTATCAGAATAACTTTTCTACCAGAAATCTTGCTTTGATTTTCAAGTGTAGCGACTTTTTAAAAACAAAATTTTACCTGTGTTGTACTCACTACTTTTATGATGTCTTTTTTTGATTTTCTAAGCGGTTTTCAAAATTATTGGGAAAAACCGGGGGAAAAATATAGGAAAAAACGAAAAATGTATAAAATGTATTATTTATTATTTGCTTACAAAAAAATTGAATACAAATATTTATAGTCCTCGTCCCAGTGAGTAATAAAAAAAAAAAAAAAAAACAATATTTGATTATCTTTATTATCTCCGGAAATTATCAAGGAGTATATCTTCATGGGACGGCCTGTATAGTATTTTGATTTTCATATAATAATACGATGTTAACAAACATTTCGAAATACACATACGATTTATACACGTACAACACGTCGGGTAAAAGTGCAAAACAATTTAATGTTGTAAAGGTCGGATCATCGGAATTATACTGCAGCCGTGTGTGAACGGTATACGTTAATGCCGAGTGTTTATTACTGTTGTTTTACTAGTGGTAGGTAATCTTTATATTGACTCACTCGACGTAAAATATTTAATTTATAATATGGATACGCCTTATGGCGGTGATAAATCATTAATTCGGACGTACTGACAGCGATAAGGTGCGTTTTGACAAAGCTTACGATAGGTAAGTACCTATGATGACAACGGTGTAAGCAGGCACTTGCCCAATAAAATATTATGCAACATCGACGACATATTGAACGTAGATAATGTTTTGGGGAATTAAATTCCGTATCGTACAATCGAGTATAACAAATTGACAGATAAATTAAAAATAAACGTGTATAAATATCGATACGAATAATTATAGCCCTCGTTGTAATCGTTTGAATGTACTGCATAGCTGTTGAGTCATGTCGAAAATACGGAGAAGATCGAGTGGCTACCGATATCTGTATTCTGTGTGTCGCATATAACCACTGCGAGCCGACGTGATTGTTAAAAACAATCTATGTTTTTATTATACTGCAATGAGCGTATATTGAGTACCTAAAATCTATACGTTATGCGTAAAATAAGTAAATTTGACGAAGTTGAAGCGAAAAACGGCTGTGAATGACACGGAAACCCGCTGTCGAGTCACATTGAATGATATTTACAATATATATTGCATTAATGAAACACGTACAGTCTGCCTTATAGAAACGAAGTAGATCTCTACACCGCGTTTAAGCCGTCAAAATGGATTGTCCGGGAGTATCTTTATAGCGAGTTGATGCGGTTGGTGTTTGTATGAAGTCTGCGGTGAAATCTCTTGTAAAAGACGATAAAAGCCGTGTCTCGGATGATTTTGATATCCACGTCATTCGTTACAAACCATGGCGATTTTACGATGGTGCGCAAGCAAATAAGTTTAAAATCTTGAATGGCTCGGGTAGTTCGACAAACTGATTATTTTGATGAAATGTATTTTACCAACTGGTGAATCGTACGCGCCGAGTTTTCCGGTAAAACAACTTGGGTACACACCGTTTAATTTGGTTTTTTTTTTCCGGTTTCCTAATTAAATACCTACTCATAACTGCAGATATTTTAAAATAACTGGCTGTCCCGCGCCCGGCGTGGTCCGTGTCAGTTTTTAATATTATTATATTGTCCATGTTCATTTTTGGTTTTGGCTGTGTTAGAATCGAATGAAAACAAATAGGTGGAAAATGGGTAGTCCACCCTCGGACGGACTAAATGTGTGTTCGATTGTGAAATTTGAATAGTGTAAACAATAGTAATTACAATAAAAGTTTTCTTTTCCGTGGCAACCCTTGAATAAACAAAAATCTTGTATAAATAAAACAAAGTCGGGCTAGTTACACCGTTTATAACTCAAGAACGGCCGGACCGATTTTGATGACCACGTGATATTTTCCGACTAATTTCTAATAATAATTAATCACCGTTTTTTTTTTTCATCCCTGTTACCAGGGTAACACAAATCAATAAAAAAACAAAATTGTATTTATTACATTACAAGCTAAATTATTTGGTGTTGCTAATGCATATATATATAAGCGAAAATACTAAAATCGCAATTAAAAAATAGTGGGCGGGATTAAGAGGGTGAAAAATACTTTACGGCCTATTCTCACACCTACCAAATGTACGTGAAAAATGTCATTAAAATCGGTCTTGCTGTTACGGAGGAGTGCGACCACAAACGCGTCACGCGAGAATTTTATATACAAGATTATTAGTTAACTCAACGTTACTATATACTGATATACCATTAAAAAAGTTTACCTACCCTGATATAATCACTAATATTCTAATAAATTAGTTGACAATAAATATAAACTACATTATTGTTTCACGTTTTCGATTTTATTTACATGATGTTTATATAGATATGCTAAATTCATAATATATTGTGCGGCGCGTGGCGCGCAGTCATTATTATGTAGGTATACTAAATATTTCAAAAGAAATAATTGAAAATGTATCGTCCCTATTTTCGCATAAAATTACCGATAATTTATCGGTTACCTGCGATAACAACGTAAACCCCCTGCCCTTTAAGGCTTGAATACGGAGGGGGAAACCTAATCAACCTGACCTGTGCAAGCTTTGCATTTTTTTGGAACTATAGAAAGAATTTATACTATTTTTTTCTGCATCAACAACCCGTTGAGATATTTTCAAAAAACATTGTCATCGCTGGATAGTTAAGAAATGGTTAGAGACTCGGTGGGAAAACCATCATTCAAGTGTTGGAGGCTGTTCGATTCCAGGTAAAGGAAATAATAGATGCATTAAATGAAATTTAGATTGGTATCCAGTAAAACTAATTCACTAGCAAATGATATTATCACTTACGAGTTCTTGATTAGTTTATCTACTTGGTATGATATTTTGAGTGGAGTAAACATTATCAGCAAGTCACTTAAAACCCACAAACTAATTTGGAAACATCTGCTAAGTTACTCAAAGCGCTTCAAGTTTTTTTGACTAAGTATAGAGATAATGGATTTGAAAAAGCCAGAATACAAGCAAACGATTTCGCAAAAGTTTTAGAGGTGGAACCTGTTTTTAAAAAAACTCGACTACGAAAGAAAAAACGAATGTTTAAATATGAAAAAGCCGATGATGTAGTACAAAATCCAGAAGATTTTAAAATGTCTTACTTTTCGGTATTAATTGATGGTGCTACCGGTGCTATAACAAAATGATTTGACCAAATAACGAATTTTAATAATATATTTAGATTTCTATATAATATTGGAAAACTTTGGGTTGTTCCAAAAACAAACATTTTAAAATGTTGTCAAGACCTACAAATACATTTAACTAATAATGAAACAAATTATTTAAATGATTGTGATTTATATGAAGAACTTCTGATTTTCTGCCATTTAGTAGATGAAAATAAACCATTACTTCAGATACTTTTCGAAGTAAAAAAAAACTAATGCTTTTCCTAATATAAGTATAGCTTTGAGAATTATGTTGATTATTCCACTCACATTAACTGGAGCTGAAAGATCTTTTCAAAGCTCAAATTAATAAAAAATAAAAACTTATTTACAGAGTACCATGTCCCATAAATGACTCACTGGACTGGCCACAATTAGTATTGAAAAGAAACTATCTGAACAGTTGACCTATGAAGAAATTATAAATGACTTTGCTTCCAAAAAAGCCAGAAAGAAAATTATTTAGAACTTCAATACTAAAACTAACCAATATCAATTATAATTTTTAATGTTTACTTATTATTTTTATGTACTAAAAAAATATTTCATAAATAATACTTATAAAACTCTATTATATAGACTGTAGATGTTGGTGCATACCTAATATTATATTGTCATTGTTTTATCACATTTTTAAAAACATCAAATAATTAAAAAAATATAACTATATAAATTATATATAAGATATACAAGATTTTTTTTTTTTTCCATTTGGTAGGCGGTAGGTTTTTGCTTTCAATATTTTGCACATTGGGGCCTCTTCCCCAGTATGATATGCCCCAGGCCCCTTCAAAACCTAAAGCGCCTAAGCGCTATATAATATTATATAGTATAATATTGTAATAATATAGTATTCATGGTTACTGAGTGTTTTACAAAGAAAATTTCTGTAATACAAAATATCTAGGGAGGAATTTTAGCTTAGTAATGGAGTTGTGCTGCAATTATTTTTTTTTTTTGGAAATTTTATTGGAAATTAAAAGCGTTCAATTCTAGATTTCATTTTGTCGAAAGTCTGAGGTAAACAATTTCAGCAATTTATTAAATTAATCAATTATTTGTATTAAGGCATTAACATTGAAACATGGTCTATTGAATGCGGGCATACATAAGCTACATAAATATGAGTATATAATGTATACTTTTTAATGGTTTGCTGTTAATAAATTATAAAAATATGTATTATCATGTTTATTCAAATGGTTTGAAAACGTTATCGTGTATAATGTTTATTCTTTATTGAGTTAATTTACTGCAAATATACATATTTCTATTGAGTGATTAAGTTTTAAAACTATTTATATAAAATGCAAATACCTATGAAAGTCAGTTAAACTAGTCTAGTATTATACAGTGTATTTGTAATAATACCAATGCATACCATTCACTGTTAATTGTTTGCAACATTCACAATTCAACTACACAAGTAATCAAAATAACCGATCATTGACTTTTGAATCTCAAGTTTCACAATGCATTCAAATTATTTACTCGTTTTACTATGTTATGTTGTTTTGTATGTATTTTCAACAAATGCTCACATAGCTTTTGCTAGATATTCAATAAATTGTAGTAATTATGTTCCGAACACCAATCTTTATTGTGTATCAAATAATTATGTGTCTTGAATCATGTATGGCCCTGGTAGTAAACCACAATGTCAATGTTGGTAAGTTGGATCAAATAAAATTATTGTGTCTATCATAGGTGTGCACACGGGGGCAGCAGAAGCAACATATGCTACCCCTGGACTTTCTTTGGGGCTACTGTAGCTGGCAAATATTGAATAAAGAGCCTCAGTAAAATTATATTTCCACAAATGATGACCATTGTAAATGAAAACAACTATACAATTGTTTTTTTTTTTTTTTTTTATAAAGTAGGTATAAAGATAAATACTTTATGATTATAGAATTTACCAGTATAAAACTAATAGGCCTGTCTAAAATAAAAAATAATTTTTTTCTATGTTTAGAAATGTTTGTAATCCCTATCACAAGTTGTGGTTGTGAGAGTTTTTCTAAACTTACCATTATAAGCAGGTACCATTGTACCCCCCAGAAAACATTTCCTTTAGGAAAAGGTGCTATACTTGATAATCGGTGTAAGCTTTCTGGAAGAAAGAGTTCACATAAAAAAAAAAAAAATAAAATAAAATAAACATCTTTGTAAAACCAATATATTCTTCATTAAACTCAGAATCTAAAAATTATTAAACTAATATAGTATAAAAAGTATAATTACAGACATAGGTAATATACTTGTATAACATCAATGCATGTTGTTTAATATTATTATTATTCATCTACAACATTTGAAATCCTTTCAATTCCATCAACAATGTCAATTATATAAAATTAACCGAAATAACCAAATTCATTGATTTTTTGATCGCAAGTGAAAAATATGATATAAATAGTGTTATATTAAATATTAAACATATTTAACTCAAGGTATAAATGTACATTTTTTACATTTTTTTTAATAAAATGATTTATTATTTTAATAAAGATTTTATTTAATATAAAATATGATAATACATAGTCTAATAAGGCTGAATAACAAATTAAATACAAAATATATTTCATCTAGTCTAACCGTTCAGTTGAAAAAATCAGTGAAAAAAATTGTAAAATTTTAAAAGTTTTTTGGTGTAGTTTATTCAATTATTTAAAACAGTTATTAGAAATTATTTGTACGATATTGTAACATAAGTTAAATGTTATAATATTTAGTAATATTCTCACTATTCTATGTTCACTAAAAGCAAAACTCGTACAATTAGGAATGTTTAACATTAAAACAATTAAATTAATGATAATCTTACAAAAATAAAAAAAACAAGTTACATACCTACTTTAAAAGAAAAAAAATAATAACAAACATTTTGACTAGTTTATTTGGATAGAAAAGTATCCTCAAATTGCTTCAAGTCTGCTTTCAACACAGCACCTTTATTCCTTAGCATTTTTGATACTTCAGTTAACTTGGATAATATTCTTAATTTACCATCTAAACTTTTCATTTCATCAATAAGATCAGTGGCCGACATGTCAACCAATTCACACAATTGTGCCAAAAAAGTAGATAATTTCTGCTGAACTTGATAACTGCAATTCGTTGATGTAAGTTCGACAATCATACGGAGTTTACTTGTTGCATGGCGGACATATTGCCTTTTAAATTCTCTTTCTTTAGCCTTTGTGGTCCATGACATTCGCTCATATAGATAAAGACATCCATATGTGGCACCATTAACTACCATCAAACGCCATCCAACAGTCTTTATCATCTGAAAAAAAATAAGTATAAATTTATATATTATATGGCATGGAACATTAAATCAAATTTCCTATTAAATGCTAATAATACTAACAAAACCTGCAAAAATAAATAACCCCATAGCACCTGGAGTTCCTAAAGAAGTTAACAGAATACGAGAGATCACAGACAAATTGCGTTCCATGGTTACACCATGTAATCTATTAAAAGTATTGATTGATACATTAGATTGATTGTTAAATTGTGAAGACTGAAATCAAAAATACCAAAATATTACTAAACCCATTAGTTATTAAATAATATTTTTAATTTACCATTATGGTTCTCGAGTAATAATATGACCAACTGGTGGAAAATGATCTCACACGACCAAATAATTTAGATAATCCCCAAGAGAACTTGAATTCAAGATGTTCGTGGAAATCTCTACATAAATTATCACAATTCAAACGATAAAAAACTTCAAATGGTTCCCGTTGTGGGTTTCTTAAACGTATATTTCTTTTTTCCTCTGGTAACAATGCAGACATTTTTTCAATCATTTCTTTTTGACTTTCGTCGATATTCAAAGCTAAAGCAGTAGAAAGTCTAGCTCGCAAATTACTACCAAGACCAGATTCCACATAACTATGAAGTTCTTTTTTATAAGCATTTAAAACCAATGGATCTGAATGAAATGGAAAACTAAATTCATTAACTAAAACAGATAATCGGCGTATTTCAAGACTCAGTGCTTTAGACACCTAAAAATAATACAAAATATAAATTATGACATTTATATTTAGTTACAATTAAAATTAAAATAAAAAATATGTATAGTAAACTTGCTTTTTTCTCTACATCATTAACCATCTGATGAATTTTAGTTTTCATTTCCTTAGTAATACTAATGAGTGATTGTTCTGTGTAATTTAACTTTTCTTGACATTTTTCGATTTCATTCAATTTTAAATTTTTTTGTTCTTGACTTCTATTATAAATTATGTCCATAATTTTCAACATGTCCCTTAAAAAATATTTACAAATATTTTAATTTCTCCTAGAATTTGTTATCTTTAATACACTTGTTAAAGTAAAATTTATTTAAAAACACAATACTTATTATTATTATTCACATGGTAACAAAAGACAATAATAGATACAAATTATTAAAATTCTTAAGATATTTATATAATATTAGTGTCTAACTTGATTAAATGTTTCCCTTCTTGTGAATGATTCAAAAACTTTGTCTTGATTGCTGACTTTGAGATACATTCTTCAAATCTGCGTTCAAACTCTTCAAATTCCATGTATCTTATTGAAAATCCTTCAGCTAATGCACCACTATTTGATGCTAATCCCTTACGCTCTTGTACACGAGCTTGTAGAACTTCTTTAGCAGAAATAAAAAAAATTCGAGTAGACGCCTCTTCAGCTGTACAAACTTTCAGTTCCTTCACCAGAAAATCTGTAGCGCGCTCCGTATGTTGCTTACGTACCTAACAAAAACACAATTTGTATGTTAAATGTTTCCATAATATTATTTATTAATTTATTTGCATCAACCTACATGGGCCTATTTATTATAGAAAACATGTTTTTATTATAAATACAAAGAACTGAGTGCCACAACAACTAGAGGTGCAAAAGCACCCAGGGGATACTATTAAGTCATGGCTGGTGGACCGAATGGTATTTAATATAATTGGTTGTTACTGATTTTAGTTAATAGCATTTTCAAAGTAATTTTTGATATGTACCACATTAAATAGACTTACATCCTAATCAACACAAACTTTGTTGCGGCACTGAAAGCACGCATTCATTAAGTAATTATATTTCAAAAATGTATTAATACATTGACTGTGTATATCTTCTTATAGTTTTCACTCTAATACATACATAATTTTTTAATCCTAATCATTTTAATCCATAACCTTATAATGACAATAATTAAGAATCAAATATCAGTCAACCACATGCAAGGAATACTACAATTTTAACATTATATGGCATATGTGTATTGGACACAATAGTGTTGTAAGCACTGCTAAACAAATCTTATGTCACCAATTGGTGTCCAATATGCAGTCTAAGTGTAAGAAAAGCGGAAAAAAAAAATATTGATTTCCCTTACCTGATCTTGGCTATTAAACTGAACGCAATTACGGTAACAAACAAAAAAGAAAAGTTAGGTAAATATTCTAGTATATTAATAGAACATTTTACCGGGTCTAAAAATTCAGATTCATTAGCAGACGCATCCCAACGGTTATTCAATATAAAAATGTTTGGCTTTGACAATTTTGATGATACTTTATGAAAGAAATTTTTCTCCTAAAAATAAAAAAAAAATAAAATTATGTTGAACAATGAAATAATTCTTCAAATTATGATACTTGGCTATTCACTGTATCAATCCATGTGTAATTTCATCCAATGTGTTTATTAAAAATTATACAAGGTATAGGAAAAAATTCTGGAAGGATTTTATGATATTTGCTTATAACACCATTAATTTGATAAACGTATAACTTACTGTAACCATTAATGTTGATTCAGCATTTGCAACTAAAACAAACACATCAGCATCGATGCAATGATTATCAATCCAATCATCCAAATGTGGAGTGACATCTACTCCAGGACTATCAACTAAGACTACATCATCTCTTAATAAGACACACCTATCCTTAGGCCAATAGACATGCACCAATTCTTTCTCATTCAACTGCTTTTCGTGGTTTAATGCATGTGCTAAATGACTGACAGACTACAGACAGAAAAAAAAATTAGAAACTATATACAGAGTGATCAATCTGTCATAAGACACTCATATTCCACTTTTAAGTTAGGGGTAAAATAGAATGCCGGAGCATTATTAACACGCTGTGTACCGCATCGCCACACAAATGATACTACAATACTTTCTCCCAACCGATTGACGGAAATTAAAAATTTCAAAACCAAAATTTATTTTAACTAATACTTCATCTATTTATGGAATTTTTAATATAGGTTGCCATTTGAAAATCAAAAGTAGGTAGTAGTTTTACCCCTAAAAATAAGGGCGAAAAAAAATAACATAAATATAAAATTGTAGAGCAGCTCTTTTCTTAAATGTTCTAGAAAATAAATTCCGGAAAAAGTTAATACTTTCTGAGACAATGAGTGTCTTATGATAGATGGATTGACCCATTTATAAAAAAACTATTAGGTATACATCTGAGTACACAACTAGATACCAACTTACTTCTACGTTCTGTCTTTCATTACTACCTTCAATAACTAAATATGCATCTCCATTTTGAGAACCTTCAACTTGCAAAAAACAATTAGTTGTATGACCTATACCACTTGGGAGGACTTTGTCTCCCAGCATAGCATTCACAACTGTACTCTTTCCATTGCTTGTTCTAAAAGTATTATGTTATTAATACTATTATAATTAAATTTTCTATTAGCAGTTCAATATCAATACACATTTATGTACAATGTATGTTTATTTTTAAATATCTACCATATAAATATTTTTTTAGGAAATAGTAATCATTATTCAATGTAGAATGTTAGAAGGTTTAGAATATTGTATAGGATTATTTATTTTTTTTACTGTACACAATAATAAATCATTTCAAACGAAAAACGATTCTGAATAGTTATGACATTTTTTTTTTATCAAAAAGTATAAATCAATATGAACATTTCTTTACTAAGAATCTTAAAAATAATATATTTAAATGTTTATGTTACTATGTAAATAGTTCTTAAGAGAAGGCTATACCCAATACTGGCCCAGTATAACTGACTAAACTAATTAAAAAATTGTCGTACAAAAGTCAACTATTTAAAAAAAATAAAAAACTAAATTGGTTGTAATTATTTAAATTGTGTATAACAATTGTTTTGATTAAAGCTATTACGTAAAGCACTTAAAATTATAATCCTCTTTAAATTTTACTATTTACATTTCAAGTCCAATTCCAACCTAAACAACGCAACCTATGTTAAGAGTACATTATACCCGCATCTACTATCTCAGTCCAACTATTAAATAACATGCAAAAACATTGCGTAAGTAGAATAAGTAAAACTAGCTTAATTTTGATTTTAGAATAATAGACAAGTGCATATCAATAAAAAATAAACATTTATAACAACAAATAAATAAATAGATTATTATTTAAAAATTTAATAATTGGTACTTATACTCTAAAATCTAATGAGCTAGTTTTACTTATTCTGTGTAATCATTGTTTTTGCATGTTACCTGGTAGTTGGACTGAGACAGTAGATGCAGGTATAATGTCTCCTAAATGTAGAGTACTTTTTGCTAATTTAATTGTTAGTCTAACAGAGTATGTGTGAGTACAATATTTTCTTAAACATTTATAGTACAAATTTTGTTTTTAATTAATTAAATTTACATAGGTATTTAAGTTCCATATTTAATAAAAACTTAAGTAAAAAAACAAACCTTCCAAAGAACGCAACTTTCATGTGATCGCGAGTCAGCACTTCAGATATTCCTTTTACTTTAAACTCATAATCTATTATAGATTTTAGTTCATTGGTGTTAATAACATCAGGACATTTATCATTCACATCTGTACAAAAAAAAGGAATAATAATAATTTATTAACAATTGCATGAATAATCTAAAGATGTTTTTACAAATTTTAATTATTTTGATTGGTATGTTTTTATCAAGAATAATATAGTATATCAATTAACCGATAATCCATTACAAACATACTTATTACATAAAGTTATTCCTAACAATAAATTTAATAACAATTACCTTTTATACGTTCAGACGCTTCGGCTACATAACACAATAAATCAACAAATATATTGTTGATTTGCTTTTTAGCTTTGCCAAAATTCTGCAATGGAGAAGAAATTTTTTCGTCGGTGGAGAGATTATGGGAAATGTTCATTGGATTACTGTATTCAAGTGTGCGATTTATGTTAGAGGCCATTTATGAATGAACTATGACAACAATTTCATGCAAAGATCAAATAATACCTGGAAAAAAAAACAAAAAGTTAAAAATAAAAATCGGTACTTACATAAATTAGTAAATAGACAAAATCTTCCCCGTACAAACCTTTCCTACTCATTCTAAAAATTCATTAAAATTCTCCCTATATATTAGCATAATATTAATAACAGCCTTATCCTATTTACTAACTTATTTGGCAAATATGCATGATTGTGCTTTACAGTAATATTTTGTTTTCATTTTAATTTCTTTATTTAGTTGGACACCTTCACTACTAATATCATAGTTGTGTTAATTTTAACATTTTAATTCTTTTTTTAATGGATCAGTAATTGTATGTGTATACTTACTTTATAATTCACTAAAGTTATGGAAAATACAACTATAAACTTAATAAATAAAAGAAGAAATATTGTCCAAATAAACACTTATGAAAAAGAGGACAATTTTTCAGGGGAGAATTTCATCTGTAGAGATTATGACCTAGATTCACATAAATCAATGTGCAAAAGGTACGTCATGCTGTAGAAACAAATCATATGGCTACTTAACAATACCTACAAGTGTGCTGAAAAATACTCATATCTAATAGGGAAAAACTTGTGTGAGTAAGGTTGGTATCTACTTTGGATTTCACTGCACCAATCAATTTATTGAAATTTCCCCAATATGTTCAAAAATGATTCGAGAGGAGTAAATGGATTATCATTTGAAATATATGGTTAAAATGTACTTTACCACTCCAGTCACGAAATTCAAAATTTTCTTTTTCGGAAGATGTAGCTTTAGATGCTGACTTAAGAGATGTGTTTTAGATGAATATCTGTGTGTTATGTAGTTAGTTAATTGTACGAGTGTGCGCAGCAAACAAGTGACCACCTTGGATCAATAATTCCACCTATAATGCTTTATCACTTTTCCTTGTTATCTGTCTGACGCGGTTTTAACAAATCGAGGGTTATTTTCGATTAAAATTGTCCGATTAAAAATTCGGAGTTTTTGCAGTTTTTTGCCGTAGGTAACTCCTTTAATAACGGTTTCCGCAAAACAATTCAAACAGTTTCAAAATCAGCGTTCAAAAAAAAAAGATTTTTGAAATTCGTGAATCGGTGTTAAAATACATTTGTTTCAAACATACAATAGAAAGTATAAAGAAGAAATTAATTTGAATATAATAAAATATGACAGATGCACCTATAAATACCTTTTTACTTTCTGAATACCTGGTAATTTTGTAGCCAGAAAGTTTTAAACGAGGTTTTAAATACTTAAACAGCGACATCAAATGTATTAAAAACATTAAGAATAATATTGTACTTACCGTAAAATATTGTACGAGGTGCGACGAAGAAACGTTTCAAAAAACGTAATGTCCTTAATACGATTGGCTGAATCGTTTTACCACAGAGTAATGCGTTTGACGCATCGTTGAACTTATAAGTTGTAACGTAGATTAAAATTTAGAATATAACCGTAGATTAAATGTACACAGTATAAGCAAAATATCAAAGTGATAAAAAAAATAATACCGATTGATAATAAGAAATAATGTACGATATGGATTATCTAGTATCTGCCGGTGTTGGTTTTTTAACCCATAGATAATACATACATATGTAAGGCGATGGTAAATGCCGGATTTTAAATAACAGGGCCCGAGTTCGGTTATCTATATATACGTGAAAAGTTAATTATTTTATATTTTACCCATGCGCATACTGGCATAATACTATATTGTCTTTAGACTTCTCATTTATTAGATACCAAAGAAAATAGGGAAACATTATCGCATTTAGAATGTTCTTTGAACAATAATAGCAACTACAATATTATACAAATATTTGTTTTATTTTTAATAGTAACAGATCTTCAAACTTCCGTAAGTGAAATACTAAGGTGCCGTTCAAGAGTAAATCAACAACTAGAGACTGTATGGCTGAACCAAAAATACATCCAATTTTATTAGCTAGTAAAAATTACGATTTTGCAGATCGTTATGAACATTTCTTTCCTTTGAAAAACAAAGTTGATTTATATCACATTGAATCAATAATATTGAGTGACACTGACCTCAAGTGTAAATTGGTAATTTTACTAATCATTAACATTAATACCAAAATATAATTATTACAATAAAATATTATTATGTGTTTAAGGTAGAAGGGGTATTCATTTGAGGGTATGCAAGATTAAAAAGAGCTGATACTGAGGATGGGAACGACCACTGTTGTAGGTGAGAAGTTGGGAATACAGGATACATAAGAATATTTCATTTATATCTGATTAAGATCTTTCGTCAGCAATGGTTTATCGTCGAAAAAGTCGTCCGATGATTTTGAAAATTTTACCACATCTAGGTAAGTCCAATATAAGTATTATTACCAAGTTTCAAGTCTTTACATTTATTTATAACTGAATTACAGCAAAAAAATGAAAAATCTTTACTAGCTCAAAAATGTTGGCGATGATACTGTAATAAAGTAAATCAAAAAGGCAACAAAAAAGGTATCTTGTGATTTTTTAATTAAATATTTTTTCTGGTAGAAAACTTCGTCCATGTTTTTATAAAATAATGAAATCGTGACATTGTGTGTTTTCTCACTTAAGTGTTTTTATTTAAAAAATGGGGTTCAAAATCAAAAAGTGACTTTTTCAATGTACAATCTAGACAACTTGAGCTTTCAGGAAAGTTACTGAATGTAAAAAATGGAGCAAATTTACTAGAAAAAAAATAAACATCTTAGTAAAACCAATTGCTCCCTCGCTACGCTCTGGATCTAAAATTGATTATAAGACGCGTTTAAATAATTGTTTTTAAACAGGAATTAGGAATTTCTTTTACTGGAAGAAAAATAAAAAACCACAATGATAAATTAGCATTAAAGATGACATTGTAAAAATTAATCTATGGTAATTTAAAATTGTGTATTTCTGTAACATGCCTATTATTATTGTTGTAATATTAAGAGTATAAATGCAAATGTAGACAAACTATTACTTTTACTTGGGAATGAAAAAAATATTTATAAACCAGATATAGTTATACTTGTATTAACTGAAACACAGCATGATACATATTCTTGTAATATATTTTTACTAGGGTATGATAGGTACTTTTAAAAAATAAAAATAAAACAAAATGATAGTGTTATAGTTTTATTTAAGAATAATTTATGTTTAGATTTTTTGAGTTTGATATAATAGAGACCAATATTCTAAAATATAGTCTTATAATTTGATTCTTTATATATAGATTGTCATTTATGGATTCTATTCTTAAGAATATATTATTAAATTTAAAAAAATGATCATAGCTTTATAGTAGTTCTAGATAACATGAATATAAATATAGTAGGAACACATTCAGTTGATTGTGAATATTTAGATATTTTATCTATGTGTGGTTTCAAATCTTATATTAATGTATATACAAGGACACCTTTAAATTCTAAGCATTCAATTCATGTTTAGACCATATTTTTGTAAATAAAAAATAGTAAACTAGTAGATAATTTTGAGGTTTATATCCCAATATTGATATAAATATGAATCAATCAACTTAAGTAAATTAGTAAACAAATCGAAGGCTGAAATTTGGTCAGATTTATACAATACAGATAGTGTAAATAAATGTTATGATGTTTTTGATGACAAATTAAATAATGCTATTTCCTCGGCAACAGAAGTTAAAAATATAAGTTCTAAGAATAAAGGAATGGACGACTGCAAGGCTACTATGCTCGGCTCGGCGAAAAAAATTAAATTACAATGAAAGTCGCCAAATATCCAAATAATAAAAAAATTACTGAAACATTATATCAACTATAAAAACAATTTAACAAAAATCTCAAATCACTAAAATAAATTTGTTTAAAACAAAATTTAATACAAAATTGACATGGAAATTAATTAAGGAAATTAAAAATACTCAAGTAATGTCATCATAAGAATTAAAATCTGTATTAATAGACAAGGTTATAAGTGCCTTAGATGAACTACAAGCTGTTTCAAATTTGTTCAATTTGTTTTTTACTGAAAGAGGAAAAAATAAATTGGAGAATAATACTAAAGTTAACAATAAGAATATCGATAATACAGATAATATATGTGATCTCTCATTTTATATTTTTAACTTAAAAATTTCAGAATAAAAAGTTTCAAAAATAGCTGCTATAATAAAGATGAAACAGTTGCTGGAATTGACAAAGTAACAAATTAAACTAATAAAGTATATTGAATCAATTATTATTGGACCTCTGACATATTTATGTAACTTGAGTATTTAAAAATGTACATGTAAATTCATTTATACAATTGTGGTGAATGGTGATCATAAGTACGTACATAATTATAGACAGACATCAATATTAAATAATTTTTTCGAAAATTTTATCAAAAATCGACTTATAAAATATTTAGACGATAATAAACTTTTGTCTAAAAATCAATTTGGTTTTAGACCTGGCTTAGGGACAGAAAATGCACTTTATAGAACCATAATCACATGTATAATGCCCTTGATAACGGTAAAAATACTTCAGCAATTTTCTTAGGCCCAGCTAGGGTATTTGACGTGGTTAACCATGAAGACATTAAGACTTTAGCTAGTTTTGGAATTGAAGAAACTAGTTTGAAATGGTTTAGTAATTAACTAACAGATAGGTAGGCAACAAATAGTTAAAATAAATGGAGTATTTGGTTAAAAAAGAAAAATTATGTGTGGAGTTTCACTAGGCTAGGTCCGATATTTTTCATATTATTTATAAATAGTGTATGCAACTTAAATATAAATGATAACATTGTAACATATGCGATATGTAGACGACCCCGTCTGTTCTTTACGGACAATTCGTGGATTTCTGTACAATACAAGGCAATAAAATAAATAAATAATTGGGCCCGGTGTAGGCTATCAATTAACGGGCAAAGTTTAGGCAATTTTTAATCACATCACCGTCGACAGTTATCCTTGCGTTGGTCGTAAATGAATATTAAGTGCCCTGTAAACGATTAAATTATTTGTCAAATTTTCGTTTGACAAACGTGTTTTGTCAGATTTGTTGATAGTGTGCAAGCTTGTTTGACATGTTTGTCGAACAATGTAAATGTTTGACGTGTTTGATGAAAATGTTGATTGGCGGCGTGTTTGACAAACGTATTTGATAGTGTGTAAAATTCAATAAATATCATGTAACGACACTACGCGGCACGGAAAAAACCCGAAACTACGGGGAGCTTTTGACAAATCTGTTTAATGTTTGGTTTTGATCTTTTTGCGCCATTGTTTAATGAAAACGATTAGTTTGTCAAACGAATTTGACCGTTTACGGGGGGGGGGGCCTTTGGTGCGAGTGCGGTTTCGTGTACCTACCACTCACTACCTTCGTAGTGCCGCCGTAGCCGAGCCGAGCCGATTCTGTTGTGTTCGGCATCGTTATCGGAGTTATTTTCGGTTTATTACCCGAATCCGATAATATTCTGTTGACGTTATCAGAATATAACGGTATGCATGCGTACAGATATTTATACCCATTACCTGTTATTGTGATCGGCAGAATTTTCACAGCCAATATTGTTCAGTCTTGTGTTGGCGCCACTTCACTACCGGAAAACCCGGTTAATAATCAAAATTATAAATATTTTTCTAAGGTCTTGCCGATTAGATCGGTTTACGGAAAATTTGCTGCAAATTGGCGAACAGCGGGGCCGTGCGCGGGAATATTTTTGCGGGGCCCATTTGGCGGGTACTGGGTGTTTAGATGTTATTTCGGGCCTCGGGAACAGTCTGATTCCGAGTCTGATATACCGATGAATCTCAATCATTGAATGATCACACGATATCCATGAGTAACCACTGTTTATTTATCAGGGATGCGTAGGTATAATACAAATATATCGGCAAATACTATGAATAGTAATGTAATATTTCGTGTGTTTAGTACATTAGGTGGGGATTGCTAGTACGAAACTATCGTGCTCGATCGAATCATTTTGTACTATAAAATCGCGCAGACTTAGTAATATTTAGACCGACAGTTTTCCTAATCGTTTCAATCAATATTTGGACTGAACGCGCCTTTTAAATTGGTTTCTCTTTAGAGTTCAGGCACAGCTTGTGCTTATTATTTCGTTGTTTGAAATACGTAAATAATTGTGTTCAGGCGAATAATCTTAAGTGTTAACGTGTACCTAAATAACGGAGAAATAATGAATATGCTAAACAATACCAACACGCGTGTGATCGTATTAAGAGTATTTTATTACGAGTCTCGTAATAACACCACCGATGCGTTAGGATACCGACTTTACGTTATCGGTAAAAAAATAAAATATTAGTATTACAAATAAATACAAATCTTTGTTATTAACAATAAATTAATGAACTATTAGGTACAGGTGTAGTATCAAAAAAAAAAAAAAAAAGTTCAAATTAACAACTATACCTAATTTACTTTAGTTTCTAAAATTCTAAAATTAATATTTACTTATAATATTTGTATTTTAATGCAATAAATTAAATATTTACCGTTGGTTCTCTCTTCCGTCTCTTTATATCGGATTCGTTCTCGTTCGATGGCGGTCCGGTGGTCGTCAGATTAATGAATTGATGAAGACGGACATTGAGCGCAAATTCACAATAAAATAAAATACAATATTTTATTTTATTTTATAATCCAATATTATTATCTTAAGTAATTTTACAATCGTAAATAAGACTTACGCACAGAGTGTTCGGTACCTACTATTTTGAAGTTAGCGAATTACGAAAAAATTATTTTTTCTATTGTGTACTAAAATATGTTTAGAATTATTTTTACAAGCGACCGGTGTGAATGGGTAATATTATGTATGAATTTCATGTCCATAACACATTTCGTATAGTTGTCAAAATATCTGACGATCGGATGGACGGACAAACAGACAAATGGCAATTTAATCACAATTATTAATGCGTTGACTAGGACTTGGGTAAAATGTTAACAATTCAAATGATTACAATATTACTGTTACACGTAATAAAATTATGTACCCACTGGATTTTAAAATATTATTGTTATATATTATATTAATAGCCAATAGGTATCAATGGTACTAGGTATAACTTGGGATAGAATCATAAAACTCATAATCAACTACTCCGCGTTAATTTTGGCTCGCTCTGCTGTTGAAAACACGTTCAGCACGCGTGTAGTATTTTATACACAGATAGCGTTTGTATAATAATATTTATTTATATTTTAAGAAAATAAATTGTTTGAAAAATGTATACTATGACTTGAAAGTGGAAAAAATGTAATTCGTAACAATTGATTTTCGGTTTTACACCATGTCCAAGTTAATGATACATTATTGTCGAATGGTATGCGTACTTTGACTTCTGAAATGCGTATAAAATCATATATAGGTAATGAAATCTTTTTAAACAAGCTAACAATAAAAAAAAAAAGAATTATTTATAAAATATACACGACAATAAAACTGTAAATAATTATTTTTAAACTAAGAATAAATATATAGTTATTAAAACATTTTTTTTCTTGATTTTTAAGATGCAAATAAGTCAATTATATCATTGTAATCAATAGACTATTTTATTTTCAATAGAAATTAATGCTGTGTTTTACAACTTGTCTTGCAAAATGGTAATTTTCAAATAATTTTTTATAATTTTTTCTTCGAAAAACTTCTTTCAGTGGTTGCTGATGTTATTGTTATTGTAAATATAATTCTTGAAGCGAAATACAAGTATTTGGAAAGGAGCCCATTATTTTTTTCAACAATGATAAATGACGCGCTATTGTCATCAATAATATTTCTCAAAATAATTAATTCTGTATACGACTCAGTACCATCTATATCATTTGAATCACTGTCAGAAAGAGTTATTCAAAAATCTTTACAGTTTTTTTATTAAATCGTCATTATTCATATTTTTTTAATTGTTCAGTATTATAGGTACAAGAAACCAAAATTATTGAATATTTTAAATTGATGAAATCGTTCATTCATTAAATTCAATGCTTGGTCATTTATTAAAAGAAAAAAAATTATATTCGAAGCTAAGTTCAGCATTTTCCTTTAAATCATTAGGCCCTTCATAACCGAAATGTGACTTTTTTAGCCTTTAACGTTTTTTTTTTTTAAATTCTTTTCCGATATCTGTATTCTCTAGAATTTTATTAATGAACCCCCATATACATTTCTTTAATTGTTTGATCATTTAGTTCTTTATTTGTGTAGATACCCACGACTGTTATAATCAGTAATAATTTAATGCTCTTGATGACTAATGTTTGGAGTGAAATCCATCATAATAGAATAATATTTTGTTTTTTGTACAGCTGTCAATGTTTAATTTTGTATTTTATTTGATATAAATGTTGTTAATTGATCTTGAAGATCATGACTAAATTAGTGGTTGTGAATTTCTTTAAATATAATTCGTTTTACATGCTCCATAATTACAAAGTCAAACTGAGTTAATGTTTCGATGCATTCGAGAAATTTACCATTATGTTCAGTATAGATTACTTCAGATGATCTTCTGAATGCATCGTTATATTTTGCCAGCTAAAATTCTAACAAGTACTTTTCTCCGATTTTTTTTTTCAATTTGACTTAAGTGTTGTTTATCTATAGTAGTTAAAGTTGAAATTCTGATTTTTAGTTCCATCCACTTTTTAACTGTGTGATTATGAGCAGAAGTTCGTTCATGTTCAGATCATTTTTCTGGTAAATGCTTCCAATTACTTATGCCTTCATTAACCAACCCACTTCTATTGTAATTACTCGAAAAACTTGTTCGAAACAGTTTTCAATATAAGCAAAAAACAGCATCCTCGAATAAACAAGCCCCACAGACGCTTGATTATTTCTCCATTTGACATCACGCGATTATAATAACTAAGGTTAAACTTACTTTGTTTATTAATTGGAAATTTAAAATGTTGCACTTTGTTTGGGTCACATATTACAATAATTTCTGTTCGAATATTCTGATTAATATTTTCAGGCCAACTACCGATATCATTAAACACGTTTCGCATAAGTCTTTGTTTACATTTTCAAATTCAGCCGAAATATTATAGTAATTTGTTTGGATTTCTTTACTTAATTTTTTCCTGTCGGGTTTTGAATTTGTTTCTCGTCCATTGATTTTTTCATGGTCTTTTTTTTCCAATTCAAATTCTGCAGAAATATCGGTCATTTTTTTTAAATTTTAATATCTAATAACTGATTAATAAAAACTTAGAGTAAATTATAGTAGGTGTGTGGATGGATAATAGGTCAGTTTACTCCTCGGGTAAAAAATTCTCAGATCACCATTGAAAGTCACTCCAGGAACAGACGGTCAATAAAAAAATGAGGAAATTAAATTAGCTACACGAGGAACGTCGAGCAGAATAGCTGGTAATTTATATTAAAGAGACAGTTTTTTTTATCATTAACAAATATCGTTTAGATGTTTCGTATACATCTACACCAACACAATTTTTATAATATAGGTAGATATTATACAATTTAATCTTACTTAAGTTATCTTAAGTTACTTTGTCATATAAAAAAAAAAAAAAAACATTTAACCGGGAAAATATTAAATAATGTACACATGCAAATTTAAAAATTAAAATTATAGTTTGTATTGGTTAAAATATTTCTGGTTCGTTCTTTATGTCTTTTAAGGCCCGTTGTTTTATGCTTTCCACGCTGTTCCGAACTCCGTAAAACGCGTATATGAATAATCCTATAAGAAAAAAAAATAAGCAATATTTTCATTATTAGTATTATAAATTAACACACAGTGTTTACGGAATTAGAGAAATAAAAGAGAAAAGTCGATTATTATTATAATTATAATTATTATACGAGTACGTCATGTAATGTGATCTTAATAACTATTTAACTTCCTTCTTCAAAGTTCAATAAAGAATATTAAATTTAACGCCAGTTACCAGTTACGAAAAAACCCAAAGAATGCGTTGGCTGAGACATAGTGTGGTGGTAACAAACAACTCTACGATAATTACAGATAATAATGAAGAAGGAAGAAGTAGATATATTATTGTAATAATGTGATCGATACGAATTTTTCCGTATCGCCAATACCGACCTACTACTAGCCACAAACAGAATCTTATCCACGTTTTTATATTGAGTTCCATCATCAGGTATATATTAAGCAGTATGCTCACACACGGTACAAAAGGAACCAAAGGTACCTGTAAAACAAAAAAAACCAAATAGATTTTATCGCCTTCGCTGTACATTTCCTCGTAGAGTAAAAATACTTAAATTTAACAGACGTTCTATACGCATCAATGTTAAATTATTGTGTTAATATTTTTTTTTTTTTTTTTTTTTTTTTTTTTAAACGTTATCTTCCGTGGGGTTTTTTTTCACAAATGATTTTCATAGTTTGTTCGATAATGTTTGGTATATGTAAATTAGTTTTAGTTTAAATTTTAAATCATCAGATTTACAAACGTAAATTATCCTGTAAACCGGTGAAAATTTAACTCTAAAAATTATTAACGTACGTGCACTAATCGACTTTACTAGAAAAATGAATTTAATTAAATTTTTGCGAATTTCAAACGTTCTGTATTAAGTTTTTGGAAACTGCAGTTACCGTTTTCGTCCAAGTCGTGTTTTCCATGCAATGATAAGTACACGTTAACGTCCTCAAAAATAATAATAAGTTAAAAAATGTCCGTCACATGACACAACATTCAATTTCTCGTCTCACCTTAAACGATAATTGTTCGGCGGCTTGTGGCAATCTGTATAACAGGAGCATCGTAACAAAAAGGACTCCACACGAAACGTATGTAGCAATGGTCAGCGACAGCCGAAATACGTCTTTGTAAAGACCGAGGTTCACCGAGCAAAAGGAAAACACAAATGCGGCGACGGCTGTTATACAATGCGTTCATAAAATACAAAATGCTAAATAATGATAAACATTAAGAATAATATGTACTATTTTTGTTTATGGAAAAATGAGAAATTTCGGCGTTCATAATAAAATTACTGAAAAATTATTAAAATATACATATATATATATAATGTATATTTATTTTACTATTAAACCATTTAAAACTTGAAACTTTTACTTTTTCCGAAATTTCCCCGTTGTTTCTGGCTCTTGGCTCTTAATATTGACAAAACGTGTGATAACTCATATAAATTTGAGCAAGTACGGAATTATTCTTTTTATAATTAAACGTACTATACACGAGTATCAACACTCTCGACATGCGTTGAGTTTGGTCAGTTGGTGTTCTCGCATTGGAAAAATTAAACCATTTGTCCTCGACAAACGTTTCTGCTGTGACTTTCCGTTGGTCCGTGTTGTTCTTGTACCTAAACCAAAATATTAGTCAACGAGACGTTTTAATATTTGAACATTTTACAAAAACTATTAGGTGTAACGTTAAATGTGAAATGTCAGACAAGCACCTACAATAATTAAGGCAAAAAACTTCTAGAATTTGCATATTTGTTTTGCGCATCCGTAAAAAAAGGCTAGATAGAATGAAGGTTGTTCTTCATCAGAAAGTGGAATCTGTAATTATATGTTACATAATGTTTTATATTTAGGTTTTTTCCTTTTTCTCGTTTTTTAACAAGATGTTTGTTTTAATTTATTGTGGTTTTTGGAGAACTTTTCGGAACTTTTTTATTCATCTTATCATTACGGCGTACAATTAAACAAGGCGGATAATTATTTTTGTTTTTTGTTAAGTAATTAATTAAATTGACAGAAAAAGAATTTTAGAGCAAATTTTATAGTTTTTAAGTGCATCAGTACTTGCATATTTAGCGGGTTTTTTTTAAAGCTACAAATGCTCAAATAATAATATTATTGCGGACGTTACCTAAGTATAAGTATGCAGACGCATACGATCATGTACGATATTAGCGTGCCAATGGATGCCATGTCGACGAGTTGATCGAGATTGAATATGGTCGACAGGATGCCTGTGAAAATAGAAATATAATAGAGTATAAATATTAAAAAATTTAACGAACAGTTTTTTTATTCACCGGCGCTGATTCCGCAAATGACCGTTGCTATAAACGGCGTCTTGGTTTTGTCGTTGATCTTCGATAGAAACTTAAACAACAGACCGTCGCTGGCCATGGCGTACAGGATCCGTGGTAACGGGAACAGAGTTCCCACCAGGCTTTGGGTACGATAAAATTGAGTTTCAAAAAACGTTATAATATAATAATAGTACTAATGAAAATCGGGAAAAATAATAAACACCGAAAATTAAGATTGTAAAGTTACGCAAACGGTGAAAACAATAACATCGAAAAATAGCAGTAGGTACACAATAATACAAGCCTATAATAAATTGACTATGATAATAATTTGCGGGTGCACGTTAAAATGATGTCATGTCACCAAATTGTGAAAAATTACTTATTTACATAAAAAAAAAAAAAAAAAAGGAGAATTTTTCATTTTTCGTGTCAAATCAATTTTTCCAATATTGAACGTATTATTTTAATCTACGTTTTAGGATAAGTAATGATTTTTTCGTTTTTCGTCCGTTTTAAGTTATGTCGCATACTGCAATGGCTTAAACTATAATACACCATTCAAATACGCCGTATAAGAAAAGTTAATTCAATTTGACCTATATTATATATTTTCTGAATCTAGATTTCAGTGAATTTCTTTGATTTTCAGATTAAGGGAAGTCACAATATACAGGCACAGTAAACACAAATTAATACAGCTAGTAGGGAAATTCGCTTCAAGGAAGCGCGATTTAAAAAACTACGATCATCGAATAAACTATTGCAAAATAGGTAAGTACGATCAAAGTTTTTTGTACGCGTACACCCCGTTCAAATATTTCTTCACGTTACTTATTACCGTAGTTCTCTACTTCTTATTGGCAAACATTAACATTTCCGACTAGTAGAGAACTACGACATATGTTGGATGTGGAGGAGATAATCTTATTTCGGACGGTTTTTAAGAGTGATTATCATTTTATTGTCATTAGTTTTAGTTTTTGGACGTAGTAATTCCCACATTTAGTATATTTCACCGATCGCAGCTTCCCTACTATTTTATTTATTAAGTTAATTATTAGTGAACAACTTTTCTACCAACAATTTTACTCAGATTCTCAAGTGCAGCATTTTTTCTAAAAGACAATATGATTGGAGTGGTATTTTAAGGAAGTTATTTTTTTATTTTTCAATTGTTTTCATAATAAATAGGAATAACCGGGAAAAAATGTAAGAAATGCGTATTATACTTTCAAAGAAATGTACATATTTCGGCCTTTCAAAACATATATAACCGAACTCTTCTCAGAATCGTATTTTGTTAGCAATGATTAATCTTTGCTCACAGATATATATTTAATTTCCCCTATACTTTCACAACTTCTCGCCTTCAACAGTGGCCCACCCATCGTGCGAAGTATATAAGTTAGTTTTTTTTATACAGTTGTGTTTAAATAACATAATATTATTATCACAGACTCACGTGGTGAGCAGAGCAAATATCGCCCCACACGTGACCATGTATTTGATTACGGGCAGTCCCAATTTCTGATAGATGACTGGCAACGGCGCGTTCGTGTCCTTAAAAAAAAAAAAAACCAGAACTAGTATCGACACTCGATCACGCGTAGTGAAGATTTTATTCGAACTTGATCGTAATATGGCCACATTAGTGTGAGTACCGAAGCTACTCCGGAATAGGCCAATGTGACGAAAAACAACGACAAAACGATCGCCAAGGGAATGGTCCGTTTTGGATTTCTAGTCTCTTCGCCTATAATAATATGGAAAAACGCCAATAACCAGTTTTGTTTAAAAACAAATACACGTAGCATATTATTATGTCGTAGGTATTATGTCGAGATAATGTTAGTAATTTGCGTTTATGTTGTACGGGTTATTAAAAAATAAAATCCGAACCGGTCGTGGCTATGGAATCGAATCCGATAAACGCGTAAAAACATCTGGCGGCACCGGCGACAATTCCGGTCCAACCGAACGGCGAGAATCCACCTTCGCCACCGTCCACGCCGGCTGGAATTTCGCTTTTCGGAATGAACCAATTCGAAAATTTTCCTAAATTCAAAAAATTAAAAATTAAAAATCACCAATTATTAAAATGTTTTCATAGCGCTTCCGAGGGGAGAATAATTTTCGATTAAAATGACGTGCTACTTTCCGTATTTATAGGGTTACGCATGACTATGCGTAACCCTCAATTTATTCTCGACATTTAAGAAGATTAAATTTCACTAAACATATTCAAATACCTTTACAAATAATACATTGGTTTAAAATCAACGTTGCACAATACAAATTCTCTTTTTATCATACTAAAAATTTTCTTTCATAATAGCCAGCGCAAAATAGTTGTTAGTGTTTTTACGGTCGAATTATAGAAAGTAACCGTAGCACATCCTTTTCATAAAATATATTTATTCAAGTTTTTACTAATAAATCTGGCTCTGCACCCTTATTCCTAAGTATTTAAGTCCTCTATCTACCATTGTGCGGTATATATACTCACCGAGATAAAATCCGCTAACTATGACAATTGTCACTGTCAACAAGTTCAACGTAGTAAACAAATTATTGAGTGTCGAAGATTTACGAACACCCCAAGCCACGAGCACTGTAATATTTATTATTAACACATATCAAAACAAAAAAAAACAATCAGTCGTAATATTATATATAGGGATCGCAATTTTCGAGAAAATATTGTGGAATTTCTGTGATATTAAACAAATTAATTTTAAAAATATTTGTCTAGTTTTAATCCCAAAAAAAATGAAAAATGATTATAAAGTATAAAACGTGTATATTTATTTTATTACGCGCTATGGCCATGACGAAAATAAACGACGCGACGTCCGGATATTCGCCTAGGAATTCCATGTGCATCGGAAAATGTTTCATCATAAAATTTTTTTGAGGATCTCCGAGCAAAGAATCCAAATAGTTAGTCGTGGCCTTGGCTACTGACGCTGTACCTGCGTAACAAAATATAATATCAGTACTCAATACATCACCAAAATTATGATGTGAATATTATTATCATGAATTAAGATATTATACAGGGACTGGACACAAAATTGACTTATGGTTACGAAAACGAAAAAGTGAACGGACGGATATTTTGCCTCCATGCGATACTAGCGCCGTCTTCGCCTTTTCTATAACATTTTAAAGACTAACCTCTCACACCCTTCAATCATGTCATGTCCAGTCCTGTATTTTTTAGAAGGTACTATATTTATACCGGGTGATATTTCGCCTGGTTTTTCTATAATTATATTTTCATCTTATTTTTTAGAGTGTTCTTTTGATACAGTATTATTGTATTCAAACAAAACTTTTAATTAAATACTTATTACACGAAGTGAAACACACTCTGTATTGACTTTTGCCTTTTTTATTTTTTATGCATTCATTGATTTACTTGTTTATTGACAGTTATATCACCTATTGTATGTTCGATAAGTAAATTCCAACCGATAACGAAAGCGATAAATTCGCCAACGGCCACGTAACTGTAAATATAAGCGGATCCGGCTTTAGGTACTCTGCCGGCGAATTCGGCATAACAAACTCCTGTAACGAATATAAAGATAATTATTATTATAATTTATCTTAAACCATTTTATTTCAAATACATATAATAGACAGACTGTCTCACGAAGATATACCCCTTGAATATCTCCGGAGATAATAAAGATAATCAAATTCTGTTATATATATATATATTACTCACAAGGATAAGGACTACAAATTTTTATATTTTATATTTTTTTAGTAATCAAATTAAAAAAAAAAATACTTTTTATTTTATTAATTTTTGTAAAATTTTAAGATAGCCATTATGTAAAGATTATTTTTCTGAAAATTTTAATGCAGCACACATTATATTCGACGAATAGTTTTTAAGTAACAACCATTTTAAATTCTACAAATCCGTGTAAAAACCGATGTTTTCTAGGGAATAACTTAAAAGCAGTTAACAGATTTATATAGATGTATATTGTGTATCTGTTTTCTGAAATCGAAGTTATAATAACACTTCATAATTTTATAGTTACTAAGTAACACGTTATTCAAATTGTAAAACAGCCAGTACACTGTGCGTTCACCCGCACAGTGTAGGATACTGCTAATGAGTAACAAAGTGCCCAAAAAGGGAGAGGAGGGTCTGTGAGTTCTATGGGCTCGAAATTCGGATTTTAAAAAGGCCCGGAAAAATAACATAATTTATTAAAATTAATAATAAAAATAAAAATAGAGGGATTGTTTTTAGTTATTATTTAAAACATATTTCAAATAGAGAATGGCACATAAAGGCAAGGAACTATAGAAAGGGAAAGGGAAGAATAAATAAAAGTAAAACAAAGTAAGAGTTTTGAGGAGCAAAATAAGACAGTAAATAACGGTAGCTTAAGCGTTGCTTCGACAGTAGACAAAATGAGAGAAAATAGACTGAGATGGTTTGGATGTGTCATGGGGGAGAAGAATCTGAAGCAAAAAGAATTATAATGAAAATAAACGTTGGAGGAAAGAAAGGGAGAGAAAGACTGGGTCAAATGGAAGTTTAGAACGAGGGTGGCTGACCCCAAATAGTTTTGATGAAGGCGAAGGAGAAGAAGACGTTAACGAATTCTCAGACTACCTGAAAGTCGTTGCGCCCATTAACTTATATCTCTAACTACATGGTTTATTTGTATTATAAATTAACGTACTATTTTTAACAAATATAAAATGAAAGGGAACAATTTTACTTATAATTTTTGTAAATAAAATAAGGCCCGGATTTATTTACAGTACCGCAGTAAAAAGAAAATCATGTGACGGGTAGGCCACTGTTGTAGGGGGCACGTTTTAAATGTAGGATACATAATGTAATTTAATTTTATACATTTTTAGAGCTTTAGATTCACAGCCCTTAACGTATTACCCAATGGCTATACAATGTCAGACCCGCAGATACCTGAAAACGACGACACGACCGCGGCCAAGACGAATGATAACACTACGGCGGGACCAGTAATCGATTTGGCCACCTTCCCGGCCAACACATACACACCGGATCCCAATGTCGCACCGATGCCCAGGCCCGTCAAATCGTAAACATTCAAAACCCGATTCAGTTTTTCTGTTCCGTGCAATTCGGCGTCGTTCACGAATGTTTTTTTCCTGCACAGCGCTTGATAAAACGATTCCGTCTAAATGGTATAACATCGTGTGGATAAGTCAATTTTCCGTTGCATACAACATTTCTCAACACTGATTTTATAAACCGTTAATATATTTAACAATATTCCGTGCGCTATAGAAATATAATATAGGTACACCCCTTGAATATCTCCGGAGACAATACAATTTTGATTTTTTTTTTTTTTTAGTATAGTAGAAAAATTAATTTTTTATTTTATTATTTTCGGAAAATTTTAAGATAGCCATTCTGTAGAATTTATTTTGATGAAAATCACACATTTATATCCGATGAATAGTTTCTAAACAACAGCTGTTTCAAATTCTACTAATCCGTGTGAAAACCGATGTTATATAGGGAATAACCTAACCGCGGTTAACAGATGACATAGGTTTTCACACGGATTAGTAGAATTTAAAACGGCTGTTACTTAGAAACTATTCGTCGGACATAAATGTGTAATGCATTTAAATATTCAGAAAAGTAAACTCTATAGCAGTGGTGTGCAATCTGGGAGTCGAGAAATTTTATTAGAGGCTGGCTCGCCAATAATTTAACACCAAATTAAAAAGTTATAAACCATTTTTATAATTTTATGTAATTTTTTATATATTTATTTATGTAGCAGTATCAAATATCAAACATAGAATCAATCATGTCTACAATGCAAATTAGCAGGCTCAGGTCTCTCATTAATATTATTAAATCATGTAATTTTTAAAAATATTAAAATGTTGATCATTATTATAATAATTCCAGTAATTCGTTTTATTTCGATTTTGTAAAACTCTGATTTCGTATTTTTTTTATGTTAGAATTAATTAAATTAAAGAAATATTAAAATTGTCTAAAATTAACGATTTAATTTATATGATAAAATGTTTGTATATGTGTAAGCCATATGGATAATTAGTCTTTAGACTCTTTGCAATGGGGTAGCCTGTTAGCGAACTACTTATTATTTTTCCAAACGGCCTACTAATTTTCAGGCTTATTGCATACAGACTAACAGCAGTTAGGTATTTTAAGAATTACAATCCTTATAATACAGTAACAACCATTTTACTTTTATTTTAAGGGTAATTTGTTACTTTTACAAAAAAGTATAACGCCGTATACTTATATACAGATACAAGTTATTTACATATATAATTCCTCTTACTTGCTTTGTGATGAACGTGCTTAGTTTCGATTCGGGACCGCTCATATTATTATAAAATTGCAGCCGTTAAATATTTACCCGAATGCTCCTGAAAATGATACAGATATACGCACGCGACAAATCCTCCTATAATATTGTACAATTAGAAATAATCGTTCGACCCAACAGTTCGACTGCACTACAATATATGTGTATAGTGTACACGACTGATATTACGATGTTGACGCGCCGACGATCTGAGTTTTGCTCGATAACATTATTTGTTTTTAATTATAATTTTTTTTTTTTTTACGATCGAATCGAACGTTTTCCGAATAATGAAAACGGCGATTTACGCTTATCGCTGTTATCGCTAATATTATTATAATGTTATGTAATTCCCCAAAATAGTATTGAAAAATACCGTAACGTCGTTTTCGTTTTGCAAAGTTCAAAAATCACGCGTGTATACACACTGCGCCAACGAAAAACGTCGTACGAAAAGACAATAATTGATTACATTATGTTATTTCTAAATATTATAGAAACCGGTGATTTTTTTCGTATATATATGATTATATACTAATTATTATTTATAAAAGAAAAAAAGAGCTGATACTGGGGACAGGTGCGGCCACTGTTAATTTAGGTTAGGAGAGAAGTTTAGAAGGGAGGATACTTAATGTTATTTATTTCATTTATATTTGTAAAGAACAATAAACCATTGCTGACGAAAGACTATTCCGAGCGCAGTTCGGTAATACATAATTTGAAGTGTCGTAATTTTTTTTAACCTAACTTTCCTACGTTTTTTCCCGATTATTATGAAATATAATTAGAAATATCAAAAAATCGAATTGTGTCATTAAAATAAGATTAATAATTTAAACAAAAAGGTCTCTTGTCATTTTTAAATTGGACCCATACTTTTGCTAGAAAACGTACTTATTTAAAATAACGAAATAGTGAAAAAATCTTTTTTTTTTCCGGTTAAACGTTTTTATTTTCAATACCATTTCGAAAATCAAAAAATTACCTATTTATTTACCAAGTAGATAAAATTGACTTTCAGAAAAAATGCTACACTTATATATCGGAGCAAATTTTCTAGCATAAAAGTGGTCACATATTTACAGTATAAATATGTAAAAAAATTAAAAAAAGGAAAAAAGTCATCTGATGATTTTGGAAATTTTATCACGTCTAGGTAAGTCCAATATAAGTATTTTTACCAAGTTTTAAGTCTCTACGTGTATTTAGAACCGAATTACAGCAAAAAAACTCCCAAGAATTAAAATTCCTTAAAAGCTCAAAAATGGCTCAATAGTTTTAGCATATAAGTCTTAATACCGTAAGAAATCAAATCAAAAAAGCAGCAAAAAAGGTACTATGTGATTTTTTGATTAAATCATTTTTTCTGGTAAAAAATCTCGTCCGTATTTTTAAAAAATAATGAAATCGTGAAATTGTACGTTTTCCTAAGTTTTTTCCCACTTAAGTGTATTTATTTAAAAAAATGGCGTTGATAATCAAAAAATGACCTCTTCAATGTACAATCTAGAACACTTGAGTTTTCATAAAAGTTGCTACACGTAAAAATCGGAGTAAGTTTACGAAAAAACGTGTCCACAGACTAAGAACAAAAAAAATTAACAGCATTGTAAAATTAATAGCTACTTCGCTACACTCGGAATCTAAAATACAAAATAAGCCGCAGTCTAATCATTATACACGATTAGTATTTTTTATAGACCGGTTGTTAAATCGTCTATAATAAAGATTAAAAAAAATAATAATTCATTTCGCCGAACAATTTAGTTGATTTTTTGCTTTACCGCGAACCGTAAAAGTAATATCATATTTATATTGAATTTGACGTTATATGAATTCGATATTATAATTTATTATACGATTAGCTGACATCGTGTATTATAAATTAGCGGACAATAAAATCCTCATATCATCTCGATAACATCATTAATTCGATAAATTCTATATTTATTTATTTATTCACTTTATTCACTTTATTCACTTATTTATTTACTTTATTCAAAATGACTTATTTACCTGCCCTCAAATTCTGCAGTGAACAAGTATAACGTTAGTATAGCTATTACAGTTTTTTTTTCACATTTACGTAAATATTCCCGTTTTTTCTCGATTTTTCCTTGTTATTATGGAAATCACTTGGAAAATAAAAAAATGATCTAAACTAAATTTAATGATAAGTTAATGTATCAAGAAGATAAAATTTAATTTTAGAAAAAATGCTACACTTGATACATCAGAGCAAGATATCTGGTAAATTAGTTACACATTGAAAAAATAATAATAAGCATTATTGTATAACCAATATATAACTCAATATGTTCCGAATATAAAACAAGTTAGAAAAGTCCAATTCAAGAGTGTGTTAAAATTAAAAATTAAGAGGAAAGAGGGGGAGAGGAAGGCTAAAAAAGAGGTATATGGATGCAATTGAGATGTGGCATGCAAGACGATGTGGGGGTGGATAAAGCGGAAGTTTAGAACCAGAGTGGCCAAATATTTAGGATAAAAATGAAGGATGAAAAGAAGCATGATAATAATATAACAAATTTATGTTTAAATTTGTTCTTAAATTAAAAATAATTATAATAATAATCTCACAAATAATACTTATCTATACAGCATATTAGGCATCACTATCAACTGAACCCCGCTTAGAATTGTTTTTAGTAAGCAATGATTAATCGTTGCTTATACACATAAATTAATTTCCTCTCTATACATCTATCTTCCTAACTTCCTACCAACAACGTCAGTGGCTACATCCGTCCCCATTATCCTCGGACAGCTTTTTAGTATTGTGATTATCAATTCATTTAGTTCGTTTTTGACCAGTTATACTGTGATCAGTGGTGTAACTAAAACTTATAATAGGAATATAATAATAAAAAAAAAAGATCATCCAGTAGAACTTCTAATACCCGTGGTAAAATATTGTATAAAAGACGATAAGAAAAAAAGTGGTCATTCGAAAAAGGCCTTCACTATTATTGTTCAATAATGTCTTGGGCACTGATTTAAGACTCCTAAATGCCGTAGACCAGTGGTTCATTTCCTGCCAAGCTACCACCCGTACTTCTACAGAGTATGCACTCTAGTGATACTCTTTATTTTGGAAAATATTTACTTTTTCGGTGATTGTTTTATAGAACATTTAAGAAATAACCAATTCTAAAATTTTACATTTCCATTATTTTTTATCACCTTTAATATTTTTAGGGATGAAATGAATTGGAAACTACTTTTGATTTTCAAATGGTGACTCATATTAAAAATAATATAATTATACATATAAGATAACAAAGTGATTTTATTTTATCGATTTCCTAAATTGTTATTACATTTAATTACTATAAGCTTTTTCTCAAACAAATAAGCAAACGCGATAAATTAATTCAGTTTTTTGCCTGTGTAATAAATTACTGCAGTTTGTATAAAGTATCTTATCAGGAATTGTAAAATGTTAAATTTGTTTTTACCGCAGTTTACATATCAACTATTAGAAAAAGGGAAATATTGCCGCAGTTTACCATCTTCTCTTTCTTTTCCAATTATTTGTATGAAATAAAAGCATCAGCTTGTGACAGTAGCTGCACCTGTTACAGCCAGCGATCGAGTAACATAATTTGCCGAGTACACAAAAAATAATCTATAACCTATAATATTATATTTTAACATAACAATATTAATATTGGCGACGACGGTGACGGTCGCGTAAAACAATATTATAATGCATTAAAATATTTTAAGAATATTGTATTCAGGGTGTGCAAGTTATGTGTTAAAGCCCGAACGTAAATAAAATATGTAGGGTGTGCTTACTAGTATAATGATACATTACATTTTAAATCACAACATTAAAGTATAATAATATTTCACATATTGTTGTAAAATAGGTAGTTGTTGAAATTTCAAGTAGTTGAAATATTTTCTAACCTTTTGCTGTGTATAAGATCATACAGAATTTCGTTAAGAATATACGACGCGTGAAATAGGCACTGCATCATAGCACTGCTATCTAAATATTCGAAAATATCGTCTTTCACTATATATAAAAAGATGAACATACTTCGCGCGTTGGTGCAGCCACTGTTGTAGGTGGGAAGTTGGGAAGGTAGGATACAGACGGGAATTTAATGAATATCTGTAAGCAATGATTTGCCATTGGTTCTGAGCGGAATTCAGTTAATAGTGTTGCTTTGTCAACAATATATATGTTGTATTATATTAAAATGATTATAACAATGTGCGTTTCCATGATAACAATGATTGTTTAAAAAAGATTAAAATAATAAAAACTTAATATTAACAAAACATAAATAAAAACTGTTGCCAGTGACAATTTTATTTTTAATCCTTCAATCTCTTTTAACCTAAAGAACCAGATTTCCTTCATTATCTCGAATATTAATGAGAATTTCAAAAAATAACCTCTCTAAAGTACCACACCGAGAACATTTACTTTCAGAAAAGGTTCTATACTTGATAACAGAGTATGCTTTCTAGTAGAAAAAGTATTCACATAAAAAAAAATAAACATCTTTGTAAAACCAAATACATTCCTCGCTCCGCTCTGCAGAATCTAAAAAACACCAAAAAATATCTTTATATTTTACGTATTTTCTCTTAAATCTATTTTATAAATATTATGTAAAATAAAAATGTATTATAGAGTAAATACTGAAGATACATGTTTTATAATAATATACACAAGAGTATGCGTTACACATATTTTTTTTTTTAAATTTACTAAAGAAAAATAATTTTTTGGGTAGGAAATCATACTTTTATCGGAAAAAACGATAGTTTAATAAAAATAGATACAAATTAAGTACACAAATGTTTATATTTTTAGTTTGTATAACGAATAAAATACGCGTCTCAAACTGTTTGTCAACAAAAATTGATTGAATTACACCATACTACAATATTTTATTTTATAGCTCGCCAAAGTAGACGGTTTTGGCTTTCGGGATTTTCACATAGTACACTATCACTACTTTCGTATACGTCATATCCGGACCTATTATAATATTTGCTGACAATAGAATATTATCGCCTAAAAAGATCTTCTTAAAAACTGTAGTATTTCAAAATCTGTATAGATTTGGTTATCGTATAGTACCAACCTATGTTATATAAGTTAAAATAAAATTACTCACACTCGAAATGGAAATTAAAAAAATATGAATTAAATGTTTGCGAGTTTCTTAATTTTAGAAAAAATACATATTTATAAATACTTAAAAATTACCTTATAAAACGAAATAATAATAATAATAATAATAATATATAACTGATAAAACATAATATGTATAATAATGTACAAAATAAGGATAATTTATCACGCGGTGTTATTCGGCGGTTCGTTCGAAACATAGCACGATAAAGAGCTTCACGAACCATTTAGAAAAACGCAAAAGTATCGAAATCTCTTACCATACTTTTAATAATATTGTTTTATTTTGAGGACAATTCGTCATCAGCTGTCGATTAAATGCAGTCGTCAATGTGGTTTAACTTTATTATTTCATTTTAAATTAATGCGTTTTAGACGGACTGTTTGTACGCATCGGGATATTAACTATAAAATTCCGCACTATTTACAATGCGAATGTTTTTTTATTTCCATAAAAGCTTTCCAAGGAAATCCACAGCAGAAATTTGAATTCAAATTATTCCGCGTTTACGTTTGGATTAATTTAAAGGGCAACGAGGTAAGCCGCATTAGCAACTAAATATAAACGCGGATTTAAGATTTATAAAATTATCTTGCGGTTAAAACTATGACTTTGAAACCGTAACGATTATATAATTATGTTTAATAACCTAAAGGAATGCCATTTTTAAAACTATTATATCGTAGTGAACAACATGATACGATGTTTTAAATAGTTTATGCATACTGACGAACTCGTTATGACAATGTTTGGGTTTTTTTAAAAAATGTTTTGTTTCGGGGTAAGCAGATGACGACTACGCGTTACAATTACTACTTATCCCCGCCAAGGGGTAATAATGTGATTAAAAATAAATATTCTTAAAATAAAAATACTAACAAAATTTTAGTTTGAAATCAAAGTTTGACTTTTTTTGTCATGGACGTATTTTTTTTTCTAAGTTACACTGTGAACTTTGTGAAAACAGGTTTTCATCAAAATGAACCTTTTCAAAATCGCGTTACGATCACCTCGCTAATGTTTTGTTTGTTTTCTTCGTTTTTCTCGTTATTGTTTTTGATGCCTTCCAAACTGTGATGTAATCCGTAAAATGCGTATATCAATAGTCCTAAATATATGAAACAAAACGGTCAACTTTTAATAATAATTGTGTATAATATATTCAAAAAATAATTATGCGGACCGTGTAATATATCGCGGGCCAGCGTGAAAAATTACCAAACTGTGAAAAATAAGTTATTTATCCCAAAAAAGATAACCTCTGTACACATAAATACATAAATCCCGATATGTTAAGTGAAAGCACGTGGGGTAGAATTGTATACAATTTATTCGGACAATTGCTTATCACCCATATTATAAAATATACATCTATATATACCGACCTACGACTAGCCATACGCCGAATCGTATCCACGTCTTGACGCTGAGCTCCATCATTAGATACAAGTTGAGAATTATGCTTACGCACGGCACGAAAGGAACAAGCGGCACCTGTAAAATACGTTACAGAATTACGTTTCGAAAGTCCTGCATAATACATTAGATTATATACGTAAAATGTCTGTACAATCTAATAAACGCATATTTTATTAAGTCGTGCCCAGACATTATGACCAAGGCAAGCTAATAAGGGACATGCGAATGAACGACTCCATGACGTCGGTGCAAATATGGACAGCAAAACCAAACGAAAGCGACAAATAACGAATGTGCGTTTGTTCGCTACATCAAAGGCATTTGTTATCTAATTTTAATATTTGATCTCCGATTTTCAATTGTAAATGTTAACATTCGGTCCGTCGCGCGTCGTGTTGTTATCATTTGTATTTGGACGTGTTGTATTTTTTGCTATAAAAATGGATCAGATTGTTTCCTAATGTTTTTAACTAATACGTTTATAAGGAGAATGTCCAATTTCGTGAAATCCAACTTGTCCAAAAAAAAAAAAATTCGAATCGAATAGGCATATCTGGTAACGCTGGTGTACGATTTCCTTCGTATGCCTCGGTCGTATAGTCTAGACTAGTTCTGCGCGATTAATCGATAGTATTGATGTTTAAATCGATAGTATCGATGATTAATAAAGTAAAACATTGTTAATCGGATATTTGGAAAATATAGATACTTATTGCATATTTCCGATTTTTGTTTGTCTATATTTTGCCAATTTTACTTCCTATAACTTCCCAATGCTCGAACACTGAACATCTTTAATCGACAGTGTCAAACCACTGATAACGTATTGATATATCGATTCTTTTACTATTTAGTATTAAGAATTCGTATAATGATCGCAAGCTTAAGACGCACCTTTACATGAATAAATGTATAGTGGGCATTTACATGGGCTGAACAAAACAATATTAATGGTTTTTCTATCAAACAGAAAATTAATTTTAATTAATCCCTCACCTTGAACGGTAAGCTTTCGACGGCTTGCGGGAGTCGGTTCAACATGAACATGGTGAGCAATAAGATTACAATCGAAACGGCAATCGCGATGCTTAGTGCCCAGCGCACGGTCTCGTGACTGCTTTCCCAGCTCGCCACGCATATGCAAAACACACTCGCGGTAACAGCTGTAAAAAAGTAATTTTGTTTAAATATAATATTGAAACGAATTTCTTCTTCTTTTTTTTTCTTTCTTAATAATTGGCAGTAGTATAGTTATAGTATAGTTGGACAGTAAATATATTGTGCATAATAATATTATAAGATATTATTACGTACAGAAAATAAGTATCAGCACTCTTGACACGAATTGGGTATCGGTATTTGTTATTTTCGTGTTCGATAAATTCAACCACGTTGAAATCGTGTACACTTCAGATTTGTTCAAATCCCGAATAACTAAAGTATTATCGCTGTATCTGTAACAGAAATAAATACACCAATACGTTTAACACGATTAAGAAATAAATAAACATCGATTAACAATAAGTGCATAACCGTTATACAGGTATAAGATTGCAATTTAAACATGCAGTTTCTTATAAATTCGTTTGTAATGTTATTAATAGATACTCGAGAATACAACAAATATATCGTGTATGACAATATTATCATGTTATATTAGGTACATATATTGTATATTGTGTAGGTATGTACTTATAATATACACTATACGCATGAGCATAGAGGGAGGGGCTTAGCCTAGATTATACAGATTATTGTTATTATAATCAATGTTTACCAGCGGTAATATACGTAGAATTATATAGTTTTTATAATAGTAATGGCAATGGCTATAAATATAATAATAGTAATACAGGTAGATTTTGAGGTTCAGGTTCGGATTTTCGTTTTAACGTTTCAATTATTAATGGACGGAACCAACTAGTTCTGACTAACGATTGTCAAACGTTAGTTTAAAAAACCACCGAGTAATTTATCGATTGAATAGATATTTTTAACCATCGATAGTTTTCATTCAGTAGTAGTACCGACTAGTTCTGATTATCGATAGTTTAAAACACAACCTAGTACTTTTTGGATTGAATAAATATTATCGATATAATAAATTACTCGATAGTCCTATAGTTTCGATAGTATAGGTGATATTTTCGATAATCAATAATTTTTAGAAATAACTCCCATGTAGTTTGATAGTTTGAAACTATCGAGTAGTTCGATAGTTTTCACTCGGTAGTGCTCAACACATAGTTCCAATGTTCCATTAACTATGATCATTTGATTACCTATTATAACGCCCTGTCACCCAAACTCATCATCGTACAGCCACGTGGGTGCCGGGTACAATTATTACGCCACGCTAAATATACAAATATCACTAATGATTTATTACGTATATATGTATATAATAAACATATAATAAATATATATAATATATAATAATATATAATAAAAATGTTTTGATACTGGTATTTTTTGACCTTTAAATCGATTTTCCCTTATTATTACTTAGACCAGTGGTCTTTTTGGGCTCAAGCCCAATTCATTTGATGACCATATTTACGTTCATGATTATACAATAATTTTACTATAATGTTTTTTTTTTACTATACAATGACATTTAATAATAATATCTCATAATATTTTCTATACCAACCGAAAACGCACCAAAGTACCTAGGCGTTAAGCTTGCCAAATCATTAACATTTAAACAGCATCTAGAAGGGGTTAAAGACAAGTTGAAAACACGAAATAATATCAACAGCAAACTAGCTGGAACAAGTTGGGGATGTAGGGCAAACGTCTTACGAATTTCATCCTTGGCATTAATTTACAGCGTTGCAGAATACTGCGCCCCAGTATGGGCTAGGAGTACGTACACTAAAACTGTCGACACACAACTAAATCGTACAATGAGAATTATATCAGAATGTGTCAAATCAACTAAGTTAGAATGGCTACCAGTGCTCTCACACATAGCTCCCCCAGAAGTGCGTAGACACTCAGCAGAGCTAAAAATGATTGAGAAAATACAAAACTCTCCAAGCCTTCCAATATATGATGACTTGTATAACGCACCAAACAAAAGACTGAAATCTAGAATTCCTATATGGACGTTAAAAAGGAGTACAATCACAGAAGGGGACTTATGGAAGTTACATCGGAAGGACGGAGTAGTACTAAATAACCACCTCATAAGTGATCCAACACAACTAGTTCCAGGTTACGTTTTCCCCCGTGCAGCATGGACTGCTTTAAACCGCATAAGAACTGGACAGGGAAGATGCAATTATTTGATGCACAAATGGGGTATGGTGGACTCTCCACTCTGTAACTGTGGCCAAATCCAAACTATTAGGCACATTGTTGAGGAATGCTCGGAAACAAAGTTCAGTGGAAGAACATCAGGTCTTCACAATGGAGACAAGGAAGCGCTAGATTGGCTATGTAATCTTGCCACACGCTTATAGCATTTAATTGTTATTACTTGTAGCTTGATTATTTTTTTATTAGTTAGACTATTTATTTTATTTATTTAGGTTATTTATTTATATTTATATAAATCCGTCATCACTTTTATTTTATTTTATTTTTTTTTGTATTATATTCCGTTATTACTTTTTTGTTGTACACCAATATCATGCCATATGCAATAAAAAAATAATATTTTCTGTCTGTCGGTCTAACAGTTACGTCACTATAATATGAAGATATCAACCAGTGACAGATATTCAAAATTTTTGTGGAGGGGTGTCCTAAAAAATAATTTTTATTTCTAATATATTTATTAATAGAAGCCCCCTGAACCTCCCCCTCACCCGTAAATTCTCCACTAGAGACCTTTATCTATAAAGGTGTAACGTTTCTTTTGAAATTGAAATCATTTAATTAATCGACATGTTTTGGCGTATTACAGATATGAACACAAAATTTCAGAACAAAAGTACATATATTTACGGTGATACAAAATTTATATAGTTGTTATGACTTATATTACATAATTTGTAGTTATTGTTTGTGGATAAAGTTGTTACTTATAGTATGTTAACTGAAACGTTTTTAAAATGTTAGTTAATGCTCTTTATCCACTGATCCCTTAAGTTATCTATACAATTATGTCGTATATGTTACCATGGCGACCACAGTGATCATAGAAATTACCACTGTTTGCAAAGCTAGGCATAAATGAATTAAAAGCCAATTTAATTTTAACCTTTTATAAGTCGTGTATTGCAGCGTTTCTCAACCAGGAGGTCGCGTCCTTGAATAGGGGTCGCGTAGATCAAAAATAATAAAAAGTTGATTTACAAAATGAACCTTTTTGTTTCAATTTTTTGATTGAACAAAAAAAAGTATAAATTCGATTAAATTTAGATAACATCTCATCAATAAGACGGGTACTCCACCGATAATGGAAATTCCCAACGACCTGAGACATAACGTTTACCTGTGATAAGTTTAAATTACTACACATGATATTTATAAATATTAAATTGATATTCGAAATGATTTATTTTGTTTGATTAATGATATGATGTTTGTGTTGTTCAAATATTTACTCATATAGATAGTGGTATGGAGGGGTGTCGCGAAGTAATTGACCACATTTTATACTTATTTTGGGGGTCGCGACTCTAAAAAGTTTGAGAAACGATGGTGTATTGCATTAACATATTTTTCTTTTCTTTTGTTTTTTTATATTAAGGGGCCTACACATCGCTATTAATTAAAGAGTAAAATGTAGGCAGTTTCCATTCACGTCGACGGTTGCCGGGATCTTTGTGTTAGTCGTAAACGATTATCACCAATCAGCCATAAATCTTTTGGTTGCATTAGTAATTTATTATTTACAAGTGAAGGACAGATTGGGTAGTATATCGAATTTGACTTTTCTTGTCAAATGTGTGGAGTGAAAGAAATCATTAAATCGGAAGATCCTTATTCATTATTGATAAAGGTAAACTTGGCAGCAGTAACAGGGGCTGTAAATTCAGTTCAAGGTTACGTACAACTTGATATTTTAAATGTCGTATTAAATATGCTCAACATTCACAACCATCTATACCAAAAGATGCATGCAGAAATCGATGATTTCACTAATGCTATTGCGTGGAAGTCAATGAGTTCTGCGGCAAAAGAAGAGGCTCAGTTAGCCACAGAGAACAGTGAGGTTAATGATGACAGAGTACCTCTTATATTAGTCATAGCAGATGGTACTTGGTTAAAATGTAGCTACACAAGTAATTACACCACTCTTTCCGGTGTGGTAAGTTAAAACACATTTATGATCATTATAATAATATTTTATGAAAGTATTACGTAAATTATCATTGTAGGGTTGCATTTTTGAGGCAAGGATAAAAAAAGTTATTTACTCGGGAATTCGTAATAGATCCTGTTCTGTTTATGTGAAAACACAGTCAAAATTAAATGAACCAACCTAACACAAGTGTTTCAAAAACTGGTGAGGCACGTTAACTTCTATGGAATCGGATATCATTTTAGAGGGTTTAACATATTATACTAAAATAAAATTACAACTTTTTATTTCAGATATTTTTGTAGAAAAAATTAAACGAAATAATGAATTCTGGAACGAGAAAATAGAAATTCCTTAACGCGGTAAGTTTATAATTCAAAATAAACTGTCTATTTATTAAGCTAAGGGAACTGCGCGTGACCTGTTTTTTTGCCCAAAAACATGCTTTATGGAATTAACTCTCCTGCCTCGTAGAGAGGTCCGATTTCGATCATTTTTTTTTCGTTGGAAAAATGAAAACTCCTTACAGAACTCATTGTACTTGGATTTTGAAAATTTTATTTCCAAACGCTAAATTTAGAGTTTGAATATGACCAATTTTTCACTGTTTTGTTGAGGTTTTTGGTCTTATAATGAAAAATTGAAGTCCAATGCGGCTTGTAGCAAGTTGTCCTCTTTCCAACAAAAAAATAAAATAAAAATCGATATCGGACGTCTCTACGAGGCAGGGGAATTAACCCCGTAAAACGTGTTTTGAATATAAAAAAAAAAAAAAATTAGGCGTTTATTTGTCATTTAGTAATACAAACAAGCACGAAAAACAGTGCGTGAGTGAATACGGTGGGGTGGGGCCCTCCATTGGTTCTGTATACATCAACCGGACAGTAGATAAGGACACGTACTACCACGATCTTAAATCGTGCGTATTACGCGTCACACAATATTTTACTAAAATTTAAATTCTGCAAGTATTTCCAAAGTGCAATATTATAATATTGAATATAGTCACCGTATGACTATTCGGTCTATTTCAAACGTTAGTAATCGTGTTTATTTACGTCCATTCGGAAATGTTCATTGATTATTGACGATGATTATAAATGACAAAATAATAACTTTGTCTTGAGGTAATTTAATAACTGCAATAGCACATAACTAAATTGATTTTTTAAAAACAATATTTGCATACAATTTATTCCGTAATATTTATTCCATTCATTAACTTTCCCAATCGTGACTACTACTAGTACTACAAATCGTATATTTACAGTAAACAGTACAATTAAAAATTGTAAGCCAGTCAAGGTGATGGATTGAATAGTTAGGGAGAAGAAAGGCGCCTTAATAGTAATTAATACAATTATTACATTATAATTTATAATATATAATTACCTGAGTATTAAAACGCATATGCAAACAATCATGTACGATTGGAGCGTGCCAATGGACGCCATATCGACTAGCTGGTCGAGATTAAATATGGTCGACAACAGTCCTGCAGAAAAACGCACGAAACAGAAAAATATAAGTAAAGCGATTCTATAAAACAAACAACACAAATCTTTTTTTTTTTTTTTTTACCCGCGCTGATCCCACAGATTATCGTGGCTATAAAAGGTGTCTTGGTGACTTCGTTGATTTTCGATAAAAAGTTGAACAGCAGCCCGTCGCTGGACATTGCGTACAAAATCCGCGGTATGGGAAACAAACACCCGATCAGACTATAAAGTACAAAACCATTAGAATACGCTCTTCGTAGCACCACTTATTCGGTAGGTACGTGGTTATAAAAAAAAAATTAAAAATTCTCACGTGGTAAAGAGAGCGAATATCGCGCCGCCGGTAACCAAGTATTTGAACACGGGTAATCCTAGATGTTCATAGATGACCGGAAACGGTGCGTCTCGGTCCTAAAACGAAATAAAAATAAACACAATATTATATTTGAAAATTTTTTGTTTGATAACTTCGTCTGCGCAGCAGAATCGGCATCTCATACTTGGTCGTAATACGGCCACATTAGAGTCAATACGGACGCTACACTCGAGTACGCCAACGTGACGAAAAACAACGTCAAAACGATTGCCAGCGGAATTGTCTTCTTAGGATTTTTCGTCTCTTCACCTGTGTGTATATGTACACATTTTAGATTCTGAGAAATGTATTGGTTTTGCTGTGGTTTATGGTTTTTTTTACATTTTTATGTGTGAACAACTATTCTACCAGAAATGTTGCTCCGATATTCCAATTTAGCAGATTTTCTAATAAGAAATTTTATCTGGGTTATACTGGGTGATCTGGATTATTTTTTGATTTTCTAAGACGTTGTCATAATAATTGGAAAAACGTAATAAATTTACAAAATGGTATTATTTTCAATTTTATTTGATCGTTGTGATTTGGTTAAATAAATTTGCAGAAACTTGAAATTTGGACAGAAAACTTATATTTGTTTTTCTAGAAGTGATTAAATACTTATCGATGGAACAAAAAATCATGTTAGATAATGAACAAGAAAAAAACTCGGTCTTGTATAGGCCCTTTAATAATTGAATATATACAATATAAACTGATTATTATTGTTTTTTTAGACTTGTTAATTGAAAATGTTGTTAACAATGTCATTAACAATTGTTAACAATTCGTAAAAGAATTCGTAACGAATAGCACGATTGAAAACCATGATTCTTCAAACATTTTAATAACAGTTTAGTTATGCATATAATTATTATAATATCGACATTTATAGAGTAGGTTAAGGTTTTCAAAATAATATACTTACCGGTGGAAGCGATCGAGTCGAAACCGATAAAACCATAAAAACATCTCGCCGCCCCCGCGACCATGCCGGTCCAACCGAACGGTAAAAATCCTCCGTTGCCACCGTTTACGCCGGCCGGTATTTCGCTTTTCGGTATGAACCAATTGGACATGTTGGCTATTACGAAAATGTCAATGGTCAATAATTATTGCGCCACCACTGCCGTAATTATAATATTAAAACTATTAATTATTATTAGTGTTATAGACACTCGTGTTGATGTAGCTACAGTGATATTTTAAGTACTTGGGCTTGAGCCCGCTGGTGGATCCTGGCCATTCCAAGTAAATTGAATCAAGTGGATCCCTACCCTTTTGCTGCCATAACGATATAAATGTGATTTGAGGAGGCAATAAGTAAATATCCTCCGGTTATCCTAGTTTACCCAACTCACACGCCTCTCATTTATGCCGGTAAATCCTCGTCTGGGATATAACGATGTAATAGTCAATCGTACAAACTAAAAATTGAAAATAAATTCACGACATGCCGTGCAAACGTTAGGATTTCGGTCATTATAATAATAATGTACGTTAAGTTGTTTGATGAGCGGAATAATTACTGTTAATATCGGCCTATAAGAAATACGTGTGAAATAAAATGTATAATAGCTGATATAATACTGAATCGACGACAATAATGGACTTTAACGCGGGGACCCACAAAACCATAAACAATATAGGTAGGTAATATTATATAATAATTGTGTAACCAAAATAATATTTTAACTTGTATACACTTAGAAGATTTCCACGCCGGTGGTCCTCCCTCCTCTCATTTCTTCGTGTTGTAAATATCTGGTTAATTCACAATATTTACTTATTTTATATATACCAAAAAATAAATACTAGCTAAATACTATTTGGTAAATACTAGCTGTCTCGCGCCCGGCGTTGCCCGTGCCAATTTTCACTATAATTATTTTACCCATATTAATTTTTGGTTTTGGCCGTGTCAGAATTGAATGAAAACAAGTAGGTAGAAAGTGAGTAGTCCACCTTCGGCGGACTAAATGTGTTCTATTGAGAAATTTTAATAGCACAAATAATAGTAATTATAATGGTTTTCTTTTCCGTAACACCGAGGTAACCCTTGAATAAACAAAAATAAATAAATAAGCAATTAGATACTTATACCAAATATACCTAAAACCTCTATTTTAACCCTTTAGAGGTTGAATTTTCAAAAATCTTTTTTTATTGCACGGTGGAAGTATTAGAAGAAACACTATTCCAAATTTCAAGTGCGAACGTTGAGTAGTTTCTGAGATACAGCGACCAGTGAGTCAAAAATATTTAGATTTTACACATATAGATTATAGATTGTAAAAATGTACTTTTATCTAATAAATAATAAAAAAAAAAACTGTTATACATACCGAAATAAATTCCGCTAACGATGACTACGAATATAGTCAACAGGTTCAATGTGGTGAACAGGTTGTTGAGACTCGACGATTTACGAACTCCCCAAGCCACGACCACTGTGAATTCACAAAATAATATTGTATTAGGTGTGCAATGCTTGCGGTTAACAAAAATTATTTTTTCTGTGTTACCTATATTAAAACTTATATATACTACTAACTATTATTATTGTTTTGTAAAATCAATATTATTGTCACATTAGAAATAAGTACATCGTACCTACGTTAGCGTGTATTATTCGTAAACGGTATACGAAAACTATATAATTAGTCCGAAAATAACATGAAACAATTCGAATTAAACGTTTAATTTTACTTTTTATGGTACACTATTAACGTGATGTGTCAAGGTAAAAAAAAAAAATAAATATAAATTAAACAGACACCCAGTTCAAAAACTCATTCCAACTCGTTACATTTATATTGTATTCCTATAAACAGTAGGTATAGGTACAAAATAAGAAAGCCATAAGAACGTCATGTCCATAGTTCTAAGAGGGAAGTTGGGAAGGAATATAATAGAAAGTGATTTCGTTTATATAGATATGAAAAGTAACGATAAATCATTAAAATCGAAAATAATTCTGATCTGAGCCCGGTAAACCGGTAATAATAAATATAACTATTAGACAATATGTTTTCCTGTTAAGTAATAAAAGGAAAGCAACAAGAAAAAGTGCTGATTCTGGGAACGGGTGCAGTGCTACTCTTGTAGATGGGAAGTTAAGAATTTAGGATAAATTACGTTAATTTATATCCGTATAAACAACGATAATACCATCGCTAAAGAAAAAAGAGCAAAGTTCAGTGTTACATGTTTTAAAAGGCCGTAATATTTAAGATTTTCGTCTAAATCTGTACTAAAAGTCTTATAAAAAAATTCTTCATTATACTCAATGTTTTCTTTTTATTATAAAGTATACAACTTATAATGAACCTCCTGTTAAATTTTCAATTATTTCTATTTGGTCTAACAATTGTATCCATAGAGCACCTACCGAATAGACATTACCTAGAAAACTCTCGAAATTAAAATCTCTACAAATAGCTCAAAAATAGCTCAAATGTTTTGAAAAAATTTTACTACATCTAGAAAAGGCAAATATAAGTTTTAGTTTAAATTTCAAGTCTTTACGAATATTTTTAACTGGATTACAACAAAAAAACAAAGTTAAAAATAATATAGCATTTTATTTTCTTTAATTTACCCGTTCTTTCTATATTTTTTTGGTTTTGCTCGATTATTAAACAAACTATAAGGAAAATCAAAAATGTATTCCACGATATACGCAATTCTATTCGATTTCAACTAGTATTTTTGATAATATTATACTTACGCGCAATGGTCATGATGAACAAAAACGACGCGACGTCCGGATATTCTCCCAAAAAGTCCACGTGAATCGGGAGATTGCGTTCCATAAACTTTCTTTGAGGACTCCCGAGTAACGAATCTAAATAATTACTCATCGCTTTGGCCACGGCGGCAGTACCTGTATATAGGTAAAATATAAATATAACGGTTACAATCTCTTGTTTGTATTTTCGTCGGAAGGTCAGAGTTTTACGTTATACCCATTGCGATCTCATAGCGATAGTCAAATAGTGAATTTTTTTTATTTTTCGTTTGATTTGACATAATGAATAAGAATTAAATATATTTATACATTAATTAAATTTACGTTTTGGTAATAGATAACCCCGATTTTGTTATTTTCGAAAAATTGAATTATTATTTAGTAATTTTTATTAAAATTCGTACAGTTTATTTTTTTTTAAAACACTTGTGTTATCATTTTTTTAATTTAAACAATTTTCTTTAAGTTAGAGTGGTAAGAGGAGCGAACTGTAAACGATTTTTGTTTTTTTAAATACTTTTTTTCGAGGTCTTAGACGTTTTTAAACGCTTTTTTTGTGGATTTAAGATCATGAAAATCTGTTCTCTGATTTTCATATTTGTTATCGCTTGTTTTCAACGAAATTAAATCTTATTATATAATATACTTTGTTAATATTATCGAGAGTTGTCGATAATTTAAATCTGAACTCTAGACGTTTTGATAATCACAATTTACGACAGTTTATTATTTTACTTTAATCAAAATTTACGAAAATGTATTATTTTACTTACCTATTGTGTGTTCCAATAGTAAATTCCAACCGATAATAAACGCGATAAATTCTCCGACGGCCACGTAACTGTAAATGTACGCGGACCCGGCTTTAGGTACGCGACCTGCGAATTCGGCGTAACAAACTCCTAAAAGCAAAAAAAAAAAAAAAAAATTTAAAAAATCATACCTAGTTATTGTTTTATTTAGTGGCAAAATCATTCGATGGTGGGTTTTACGATAATATATCATCGGCGATTACTTTACATAATCAGCACCCTGCCACGAGCATATTTCAAAACCTTAAACAAAGTATACAATAACAAATTAGCACTCACATTCCCCTCCCACCTAAGCACATATTCGTGTTTTACTGTTTATAATAGCGTTTATATACTAACAGAACAATTTCATCTAATAAAATAATAATACTTTGTTAAAAAAAAAAACTAAGCAGCAGAATGAATTTCATCACATTAAGAGTCATATTTTCCCCCAGCCGACTTGTGGTATTTTTTTTTTAACGATAAAGAATTGAATAAAAAAAAACATTATAAACTAGGTAAATAATTTCCGAGATTTTTACTAACATACGTCAGATAGATAGAGGGGACCTGATAGAGGGGATCTGAGTTTTGAAGTTTAAACCTTCTAAAAGCACATCCTCGACAACAATTCCATTTATACCTCTATACAAATTTTAACACCATTATTTACGTTGATGAACCTGTAAAAGTATTTAAAACCCACTATTTGCTGTGAAAATATGAAATCTAAGCATATAAATAAATGATCGGGAAAGGGAAAGTGATTAAAAGTTAAAACCACCAAAAGGCACATAATTTTGATACGAACACCATGCAAAAATAAAATGTCACCTCTCTAACTATATTTGAGGGGTCTTTAAAATTTTATAAAACTAGAAAAACACATTTTTCAACAATATGATGAAATTCATGACACAGTGATCAGAATTTTACTTCACACATTTTTCTCCGATAAATTTGCAAACTAGAGAAAATTGTAAAATGCAAAGTTTTTTCGATTTATAAACAACTAAAATAATTTGTGTATTTTTTCATTTTTTTTTTTTTTTATGAGGGAAAGGGTTGGAGGTTAACTTTTGAAATTCAAACGGGAACCAATATGCAAAACTTCAGCATTAGTTTGGAAACATTTCGGTGTTAAAATTTTTGATTTCTCTCAACTCGTTGACGAGATATTACATTTTTTAGTAGTGGAACATCATATGTGCACTTATGCACGGCACGGCAGATGGCGTTTGTATAATGTTCCACTACTTTCCTCTTACCTAAATTAAATAGTGGAATATTTCGAATACAACGAATTGAGAGAAATCAAAAATATGAACACCGAAATTTATTTAAGCTCAATCTATTTATACAATTTTGAACATAATTTCCCATTTAGTTTTCAAAAGTTTACCCCCAAAACCTCTTGAAAAACACAGTGAAAAAAATGCAAAAATTATTATACATACATAGATATTAATTGTTATAATGATTTTTGGAAAAAATTCGAAAAAAAAAAAATAAAATAACAATATCAGTGGATAGTGAAGAAATATTTTGCACGCGATGTTTTTAGCTTTAAACAGTAAAATATATTATAATGTTAACCCCGAAATCTAATGACAATGTCATTAATATCTAATCGAGTACACTATACAAACCGGAAAACGAAGAAACGGTAGCGGCTAAAATGAACGATAATACGACAGCGGGGCCGGCGACGGACTTGGCGACCGTTCCAGCCAAAACGTAAACGCCGGTTCCTAACGTGGATCCGGTGCCAAGAGCGGTCAGATCGTAAACGTTCAGCACCCGTTTAAATTTATCTTTTTTGACTTCAGTTTCTTCCAGGTACGTTTTTTTTCTGGCGAGCTTCTGGTAAATGCCTTCGCTCTGTAACAAAATACAACAACAGGACGATCATTTCGGGACAAACGTTACAAACACAATACTAATAATTCACTACATATGTAATAGTTGATTTTCCAACTGGGCGGGGGGGGTGAAGTGTACATGTAATAGTTATACTATTGTATAGTTAAATATGTGATTTATTTTAGGTAAGTAAGAAATTGAAAAAGTCGGATACATACAGTTATTTAATTTATATCTATAAGCAACGATAAACCATTGTTAACGAAAAACGATTCTATGCGAAGTCCAGTTGTGCATAATAATATTTACGATTTTCATCAACAATTATATTCGAAAATATAAATTGTAAACATATTTAAAAATCGGCGACGCCATGGTGCGTGGCGCGGCATAAATATTTGTCGGGTTTTCTTATACGGTTTTTTCTGGTTTTTCTTATTTTTATTATAAATACCTCCATGGAACATCGAAAAACTACCTCTCTAAATGCACCAAATAGATCCAAAAAAAATTCGCTTCTTATGTTTTGATTAGAGACAATTTAGAAGAGAAGAAGTAAATATTTCTTTTAAGACCAAAAACAAAAATCACATCATATTAAAACCAATACATTCCTTACTACGCTCAAAATTTAAAAATATATGTCTTATTTATTTTACATTGTAACGAATTGACATTTCACGATTTATCGACTACCTACTCATCAATCCTACCTATCAACAATGTTTTTTTTTTTTTATGGGAATATATTAGACGCGATTATTAATACGACCTTGAATAGGCGGCAGGTATTTGACAGAATAAAAATTCGCGACGTTACTGCGTTAGACCAGACGGTACCGAAATTATTATAAAAATCCGCGTACTCCCGATAAAAATAAAATGATATATTATATTCTGAGTAAGACAAGTGATTGATTTTACTATGATGTGTGCTTTTTTTTATACTGTGAACAACATTTCTACCAGAAATCTTTACTCTGGTGTATCATGTGTAATACCTTTACAGAAAGAAAATTTATCTTATTAGTACTTTAGAGAGGTAATTAACATTTCAGCCATTTTTGAGTTATTTATAGACATTTTAATTTTGGGAGTTTTTTTCGTAATTTTTATTCAGTAGCTACTTGGTGAATAAATTTAGTAATTTTAATAAAAATAGTTGCAAATTAAATAGATGATTAATATGTTTATAAGTCGTATTATGTGGTAAAAAAAAATAATTCAGTGTATTGTTGGATTATTTTTATAAGAAGTTTAATATCAAATTTTGACGAAAATCGTAAATATTGCAGCTTTTCAAAACATGCATAACCGAATTTAAAATGCATAACCATTTGCAATAGTGTATCGTTGCGTACAGATATAATTTTTTTTTATTACGTTTATAGACTTAATTAGTTCTTAATTGGTTCATGTGGATAATAAGCGCTTAAAGCCCGAATTTTAATGAAAATCATAAAAATCCTGACATTTCGCGTAGTATTTATCGAATTATATGATGAATATAATTTATTTGACCCGACAATATTACTCAAAACTTTAACACGATGTTCATAAGTATTTTACCAAGTGTTAAAAAGAATAATTAAGAGTAATATAGTAGTTATTTTTCAATTCACGTTTTTAAACGTCTTCATAGTCAGTTTTTTATTCTGCATCATTTACTATTGGATTTATGTCGATACTAACATTAGTTAACAATACACAGACGGTCAAAAAACTGATATTACGAGAAAATGTACACGTGATATTTAATACTAAAACCGCTGTTCTGAACCATTGCAATAACTTTAGATCACGTTTATTTTTGGAAACCCACGAACCGATAAACCGATAATAAAGAAAAAATGAGTTGATACTGCTGATAGGTGTACTGCTGTTGTTGATAAGAATATTGGAAATGCAGGATAAATATAATTTTTAAATTTATATCTATAAGGAACAATTGATGACAAAATACTAATTTGCGCCAAGTTCGGTCGAACATGTTTTGAAATTCCGTAACCTTTGCGATTTTTGTCAAAATTGAACATAAAATAATTACAAAAAAAAAAACCTTCGCTCCTCTCAGAATCTAACAAAAACAATACAATGGCGTGAATTATTCCGTTTTTTCAAGATTTTACTCAATTATTGTGAAAACTACTTCGAAATCAAATGACCTTCTCAGTGCATCAGTTAGATCCAAAATGCTACAAAAAAATGTTTGTAAGTTTCAAGTAAAACTTTCTGTTTGACGATGTTAATACGATATATCGTATTACCGTTATTCAATTAAGTTATAAGCCGAAAACATTTTTTTTGCTTTCTGACTAATCAATTAAGTATGTAAATCGTAAAACGGATAAATTATTCACTTATCGCGTATTACATAATATATACGATTCCAATAACTATATCAATAATATTATCACCATTTATAACCTACACAAAAGTATGCCGTATTTTATTTCCATATGCATGTTTATACAATCTAGTTACGAGACCAAGAAGATTTAAAAATGAGCTGATACTGTTGATGCGTAATACATGCCCAATACATGCTATATGTGGGAAGTGGGGCAGGTGTAGGACACGTAGAGTTATTTATTTACTTAATTATCGTTAATGAAAAGTGATTCTGAGCGATGTTCGGTTAATCATGTTTTGAAATGTCATGATTTGTATTGTATTCATTAAAATTTTTATAACATTTATAAAATAAAAAAATAAAACTTTATTTTATGTTCAAGATTTATTTTTTTTTCTCAATTATAACTCACGATAAACCTCATATAAAAGTTCTAAGCGTTTTTGCTTAAGCAAAACAAATGCTGTCCACATTAAACCAAAAAAAAAACTTGAATTGTTCAAATGCTTATAAACAGCTCAAAAATCACCAAAATATGTTGGAAATGTTATCATTTCTTTAAAAGTTAATATGAGTATTGTATGAACATTGTGTGAACAAAGGTTGTTCACAGACAGAAAAAAAAACACATATCATAGAAAAACCATCATAATAGGTAACTATAATCTTTCGCTACGCTCAAAATCTAAAAAACAATTATTAAAAAAACACCGGAGTCAGTAAAATATAATTATTATATTACGCTCGTGAAATATTGTAAATTCCTACTCGTAATATAATATGTAAGACTTTTTTAAATTCAGACTTACTACCGGTATACCCCAATGGTTATTGATACCCCTGCCCTGAGTCTCATAAAATATAAAAGTTCAAATAATGTTTGCTCTGACCGGTGCAGTTATTATTGTATTTTGTAAAAGTCGAAAATGTAAACATTTTCAGTTTATTTATTTATGTGAAAAAAAAAATGAATATGTTTATACAAATAGGTGTTTTATTGTATTTGTTTTAACTTTAAAACGATTAAACGAGTTTATAAAAATACATATTTACCATAGAAAAACGTAGTAAAATATGTTTAATTCATAAAACCTATAGAAGATAACGGAAATAATATTATCAATATTATTGTTATGTTGAACATTACGCCTATATTTACTGTTTGTTTTCGATTGCTGATGATTTTACTGTAATACGCTATTATTATGAAATTAAAACGCTAACAAATTCAAACGAGTATATTGTATTATTATGTGCTCAAAGTGTAGCACCTAAAGTAGAGTGTTTAACGAGGAATGGGGAAGTTATTAAAATAATTAATAATATGATCAATACATCAAAGTCGACCGTACATGACCGTGTATCAAAAACAGATTGATCGTAATATCATGACTTGTCTTTGCCCTTTTTTCTTTACTACGCTGGTCACGTGTGGGAATTTCTATACTCCGAACTTCAAAACTCTCTATACTCTCTGTATATAAATTACTCGTCTAATACATACTCCAACATACATACTCTGTAATATCGATAAAAAAGTTTCTCGAATAAAAAAACTATTGGTAGGTACGTAATTACGTAATATGTATTCTTTTTTTAAAAATCAAAACCGTTCTCGTCTGCACTGACCCACAAACGAAACTTTCAATTTTATATATTTATATATAATTTTATAGTTCGTTTTATCAACACCCGACGTGTGTTCAATGTTTACAATCATAATTTTATGTTACATTTTTTGCGATTTTCAACTGAATAAAAAAGTGAAATTATTATTGCCGTGGAAATGACGTACGTAACGTGAAAGTATTATATTACAGTAAATATTTATTAGGTAACGCAAGTAGTAAAGTAAGTATACACAACTTGGAATACTATTTGTAAATTAATTAACTTATTTTTATGGAATAGCGTTGGACGAGTATTTTTCTTGTAAATTAATTTAGATGTTGTGTGTTTTTTCAATTTTTATTTAATGTGATAGTCAAAACGGTCAGGTGGAAAACTGTACACGAGCGAGAGCCTGCCGATTATTTAAAATAATAATAAATTGAAGTGGCGTCGTCTGCAAAAACGGAACAATTTGCAATTTCTACCGAAATTCGGATCTATCTGATCGAACGTTAAAACGGATTTTCAAAAACAGTCTTTTGAATTTCGTGTACATCAAGAAAAAAAGCTCCCTTTTTAAAAATGAATTTCATCTATTAAGTGCATTTAGGAGGTGATTTTTTTTTACAATTCGGAAAAAAATATGATTAAAAAAATTTGCCTACTCGGGAAAAAATATAGGCGAATTTACGGCAATAATGATTTCAATCATTTTCGTTTTGTTTTGATTCTGAGAAACGCAATGAATATATATAGTTTCACTAGGTACGATGTGTGATGCTCAATTTTATTTGTGTGAAACATTTTTCTTGTCAAAAATCTTGCTCCAATTAAAAATTGATAAAATACTTTTTTTTATTGCATTTTCTAATCTAGTATAAATATATAATATCATTAAATAATTTTCCTTGTAATTTTTCCTATAAATGGGAAAACCTGGGAAATAAGGGAAAATGTACAGTTTTGTTATTTTTGTCTTAATTCGGTTAAAAATAATCGTAAATTTGAATTTTTACAGAATACCTATTTTAAGGATTTTATCAACATGGTCAATTTTTAAAATTTATGGTACAGTACCGGCTGTGATGGCGATAGTGGGTGTAATCAAGTGGCGCTGCTGACTTATACATGCGTTTAACGTTCAAATTTGAAAACATACATAGCCTAACAACGTTCAGAATCGGTTTTTGTTAGCAATGATTTATCGTTTGCGTGCAGACATAAATTAATTAACTCTATATATTTTTTCAACCTTCCCAACTTTTTATCTATAGTGGCGCAATCGTCAGCAGTATCGGCTATTTGGTTTTTTTTCATTTTAACCGTTGTAAATAATCGAAATAACTGTTGAGTCCTGAATTTTTCACAGAAAACCTATATTTTTTTTTTAACGTGATACAATTTTTAAAATATATACCAGGACCTTTTTTATATTATTATTATTATTATTAGTAGTAGTAGTAGTAGTTGTAGTAGTAGTAGTAGTAGTAGTAGTTGTAGTAGTAGTAGTAGTAGTAGTAGTAGTAGTTGTAGTAGTAGTAGTAGTATTAGTAGTTTTCGATATTTTAGGGGATGACGATCGGGGGTATGTGGACTTGAGTCGCGTGGCTATTGTAGCTATATGGCAATATTATTTGAACACCCCGAGTATCCGCGGTTAAGTGTAAGGCGTATACACAAGACGAACGATATTTTATATTATAATATACTTACAGACGATGAGCCACTCATATTTATGGAATAAAAAAAAAAAAAACCAACAGCAATATAGCGCGATTTTCAAAGGGATTCCGGTAAAAAACAGTGGCGGTTTGTCGACGGTGTTGTGGATAGCATGCCCGTCACGGATATCCGACGGTGGAAATTGCGCGCGAACAGACCGGATGGACGGACGGACAACAACGAGAGGCCAAACAGACGTTCAAGTTTAATTTGTACGTCTCGTTTTTGTCGCACAGGGCGCTCTAGAGCTGCTGCGGTTGACGTTGGCGCGGTCCGACGGTCGACTACTACAGTAATAATAATACTACACGAACACACACGACAGTCGCGGTCCGATGATAAATATTTGTACCGCGGTTCCGATAACAGACTGAAAACTCGCGTGCAATCCTAACCTAACCGTCGATATTGCAATGTTATTATTACTGTCCGTTAGAGAGAGAACGACGAGAAAATCGTCGCCCGGTCGTCGTCGGCGAGACCGCGTTCAACTGTATCGTATCGGGAATCGAACGGTATTCGACTTGGGTATACGTAGTTACCTGTCCGCCTAGCAGATACCTACTAACTCTACTTGCCTAATACACGTAAACTGTTCTACTGTCGGCGCGGCGGCGAAGGCAATCGGATTTGGTCGTCGGATACGTCAGACCTGTTCTACAAGGCCGTGTAGGTTTTTAGAAGGCCACGCGGTACCTTTTGCATCTATTGCAATAATTACTGCCTACCGGTGGCGTTGCGGTAGAAATGCCGCCGCGATAAATTTCAGTAACGAAAAGGACGCGCGCCATAACGAGTTAAAAAATTTAAAAAAAACGAACATAGTTCCCGTGATGGGTGGGCCACTGTTGTGGGCGAGAAGTTGGGGAGGTAGGATATACAGGGGAATCAATGTATATCCGTATATGCAATGCAACGTTAGTCTTCGCTAACGAAAAACGATTCTGATCGGAGTTCGGACATACATCTTTTGAAAGACCGTAATGTTTACGATTTTCGTCAAAATTCGATACTAAAATACTTATAAAAAAAATTCTACATTACACTCAATGTTTTTTTATCACTACAAAGTACGACTTATAATGAATATCTTATTAAAATTTCAAGCATTTCTGTTTGATTTAACAATTATATTATACTGAAGAAAAGTTACGTACAAAACTCGCAGGATTAAAATGTCTATAAATATCTAGAGAATGGTTAAAACGTTTTAAAAATATTACCACGTCTAGAAAAGGTAAATATAAATTTTCAGTTTAAACTTCAAGTCTCTAAATATTTTTAACTGTATCATAACAAAAACAAAATTGAAAATAATACATTTCGTAAATATTCATGTTAGTCTTACGTTTTTTTTCCAATTATTATGAACACCGCTTGGAAAATCAAAAATTGATCTTTTTAACGTACCACCTAGACAAGGTGTGCTACACTTGTAAACCGGAGAGAGATTTCTGGTAGAAAATTTGTGCACAGAAAAAAAAATTGTGAACTTAGCTCAGAATCTAAAAATTAATTTTTAACTTGTAACATTTGATTTGTTTTAATTATATTAATTAAAAATGTTTTACGTGACTTTAATAACGAGTTATTTTGAATAATTACACGTTAAGTGCCTTTTGATTAAATTTGCTATTAATTATAACACCATATTAAATTGAATGTATACGTATCGTATAATTACGAAGGTTTTGTACTGGATTATGTCGGGAGTAAAGGGGATGCTAGGATCAACTAAATCTATACTTCACACGAGTACATGATCTGGCCTTGTGTTAACTACATTGAACATCCTGTTTTCCAATAAATCATAAATTCTAGCATTCAGGGGCTGCTCTAGAGACTTGGTTGGGGGTAGGGGGCGAGTTAAGTCATATTTTTCAGAAAACTATACAATAAAAAACATGTTTTATATTTTATAGTTTATTTATACTTTATAGTATAGATAGTAGACCTATAACTACACACTTGTATGTGTTTATAGTACTTTAGTACTATAATACTATAATACTATAGTATAATACTTTTTTTATATATATATATAAAGTTTATTCACAAAATTTGAAGGTTTATTAGAGGATGACCCCAAGGGCTCTCTTAAAGCCGTCCTTGACAGCATTCAAAGTATTTCCCCTATATTATAATATTATAAAAATAACAAGAAAAGAAAAGAAAAGAAATAAACTTTTAAATTAAATTGGTTAATTAATAAAACAATTAACTTTTAACTTGTTAATTTATTTTTCAATCAACATGACTTAACGCACTTAATATTAATCATTAAATTGTTCAGTCAAGCCAATAACCGGTTACGTGTGAAATTACGAACTTTCAAAAATCCACTACTCTTCCCTCAACAAAATGAATCTTGTAAATCAGAACAAGTTATGCAATGCAAAACAACTACAGTATACAATATTATACTATGCAAATTAATTTGGGGAGTAATATGCAATATAAAAAATCGTAAAATATGCAAATCGAATTTTCCAATTTTTCAAATAAACAGACATTTTTATATTTTGTACACAGTATATGAAATAAAATGTATAAAAAGAGAATGTTTTTTGTGTTTGTTCAAGGTAATAATTTAATAATCTGTGGATTCGCCTGGATTCGTGTGACATAATCAAGGATGTCTATTAACCAACCGAATGCGAAATAAGTAAAACAGGCAGTTGCCTAGGGAGAAAATTATTTTGGAGCTGCAAAATTTTGTTTTAAGGTGTGAATAACTGTATATATTATATAATATACTACGATACGGTGGCTATAACTATAGGCCAAATACCTTAGACTGTTCCTGGCATTAACGAGTTAAAAAAATCAACTTAAATTTCAACTTTGATTTTTAATCAACTTATTTCGTTTACATAAACTTAATGAAATTTAACGAGTTAGTTTTGAGTTAAGAGTGTAAGTATCTGTCACGACAAGTAAATTTCGACTTCTAAACATTTTAACACGTTACTAAATGTGTTACATTACAGTATTCGAATAATAAGTACGATCATCTTATAAATAATAATTGTATTATTTTTACTCTATAATGTGTATATTCCGAGTTTATATTGAGTATGACTTAGTATTCTGGGAATAAAATCTCCGATTTTAACATTGATTATTTCAAAATAAATCGCAATTTCTAGATTTATTATTTTCAACTGTAATCATTTTAACTAAATAAATGAGTCAATTAACAATATTTTCAAACTAACTCAGCCTGATTAGTTAGTTATAAAATAAATTTTTATCCAATTAACTTAACCGAGTTAATATATATTATTCATTAACATTGCGCGGCCTTAAATATAATCATATAGTTTTATTCAATTTTTTTCCTTTGTTCTTGTGTGTGAATTTTAGACTTTATTTATTTTTTTTTTTTTTTTATTTAACTCAACCCAAAGTCAACGATATAATTTTGTTTATTATAAATTAATAATTATTAAATAATAATGCAAAATGTCAAGTTACGAAAAAAGGAAAGTTTTTATACTCATATAATATTAAATGTAAACATTTTAAAACGAAAATTGCTAACAAGACTTTCATATTAAAATATTGTAGTTGTTATTGGTTGTTATAGACACTGATGTACTAGAAAGGTACTTAATATTTATGTACAATAATGACAGATATAGGCATGTCATGCACTTTTTTTCGATTATTAATTTGACTATGTTAAATTTTTATTTTAATCCGCTGTTTTTTTTTTTCTTAACTCAAAGACTATATATTCATCTGAAAATATCATACATACATACATAATGTATGACTGCAAATAAATTAAATTATCGAATGAAAAATCAAAAACAAATAACACATCAAAATGTATTTACAACGAAACTGCACGCGACGCTTTGTGTATAATATTATTAATTATAATATACGTTAGGTATATCATTATGCATTCTGTGCGCTAAATTATTTATTATTTCAAAACAACTACAACAAATCCATGTTTGGGTATTTTTTTTTTTTTATTCTTTGGAGTCGAAGATTATAATAACGTGATTCATTCGGATTTTTTTATGAATACGAACAATGTACATTGACTGCGTATTAATTTTCTTTGTTCCGTAAAATCGTATGAATAACATACAAGTCATCGGTATAACCGATTCGAACGACATAGCAAAACAAACGTTACTATTGAAAGATAAATTGTGATGTTTAGGTTGAAATTTCTGTTTGAACATAGACAACACAATTTTTAAAGAGGAGGCTGTTTTGAGGGTTGCACATGATTTTATTTGGAGCGCGTAAGATAACTAAAAATATCTCGGTCGATTCGTATTTAAGCCGAAAAATAATTAATTGGAAAAACAGTTTATCACAATCTTATTTTGGTAAGAGAATATTAGATACTCTGTAGATAAATATATAAAATTGTTAGACTTTTCAGAAATGCTTGAAAATTTCAGAAAAAAAAATATTGAGTAAGTTTTTTTTTTTTTTTTTTTAAAAAAGTTTTTCAATTAATTTTAACAAAAATCCTAAATATTACGGCCTTTCAAAACATGTAGATGTAACCGAACTTCTTTTCAAATCGTTTTTCGTTATCAATGGTTTATCGTTGCTCACGGATATAAATTAAATATCTTTATGCATCCTACCTTTACATCTTCCCACATTGAACAGTAACACGCCCGTCTCCAGTATCATCACTTTTTTTTTGTATTATGTGTTTATCAGCAATAATTTAAAATTTGATAACGCCACAATTTACGTTCTGTTTAACGTAATTTTGTTATACGACTATGTCTTTAGTTAAATTGACAGTATGTGTGGATATGGTGGCGTAGCCGGGAGAAGGTCTATTGGATCCGGACACCTCCTCCCCCCTCCAAAAAAAATTTGAGTATAACCTATAATTTTATATGCTTATAAAATACTTGTACTCTTAATATTCCTTATTGTAATTTTAGAAAATGAATCTCCCCAAAATAAAATCCTGGCTCCCCTTAATAAACCGTTACCGTATGCATTTACTATCTCTGTCTTCA